TACTATTGTCATGAATATTGAACTTAAGTACTACACATTGAGGCTTAAAATCACCTGATACGCTGGCACACATTGAGGCTTAAAATCACCTGATACGCTGGCGACTACGCTGAATAACTTAGGTCAACCCATTATATCTATGTTTTAAGATTAGGTGTAGAAGGGTTTGTGTATTTCCGTTGTTTTGTAACGCGTCCACTCGTCCTTTTGTCACCTATGTAGTGTGGGACGTGGGTGAAATATAAATTATTATTACGTAATACAAACTTAGTTGTTAGGAGAGTACGACAAGTTTATCAGTACCTACTCTGCCTACCTATGCTGTTTTACTGCGGTTTCACGCACTTCACGATTTCATTAGCATTTTATTTATATATATCGCTGAAATGAAATGGATACGATTACATCGTAATAAAAATGTTTTTCGTAAAATAAATATTTCATCTGCGCTGGCAGTAGTAGTATTTTCCAGTTAAAACTAAAGTCGAAAAGCTCTAATAACGTTTTCCAATTCCAAACATCCAACAGCAGTACGTCTGTGAAGTTTTTACGTGCCCGAGAGAGAAATTTGTTTCAAATAAGCCAACTACTACAACAGGCAGTAATATTAAGTAGTATGTGTACTATACGTGTATATACCCGAGTGAGGTATGTGTATCACAGAACAGAAAAGAGATATGCATGAAGTAATTAATGTAAAGTGATGTAAAATTTTGTTTTGTGCAAAGAATAATTTGAAATTCAGAGAGGCTCAAGTTTTATCTTAAACAATACAATATAGTCGTGCCCTGCCCTGCGTCTGGTAATTATCAAGGCAAATAACAGGCGAGCAGCCCAGTATGTAATCTTTTACGATCCAATCGGAGCCACTTTTCACCCTTTCATAATTCAAAATCTATTTCAGATAAAAATACACAAAAATCTATTTCAAATAAACTGAAACACAGGTCAAACTGAAACACAGGTACTGTAGATTTTAAGTTGTTTGCTTTATTTTTTTAAGGAATTTTAGATGATCTTATAAATAAATATATTTCAGGATTGTCTACTGAACTTGGCTCCCATTTCCTATTTACTAAATCGTAAATGTCAATAAAGTACTTATAATAAAAAAAATCTCTAACAGTATAATATAATTGAAAAGTTAGTATCCTTCTTGTAGCGCTTAAAAATATGTGTATACTTATGTGCTTGTCTCCAATTTCATTAGCGCTATAACCTTATGAGCATTGATTATAGTACTTTAACATAACGTTATAAATTGTCTTGTATAAAATCATTATTTACGTTTTAGTGCGCACAATTAACAGCTTGTTTTTTAAAAAACTTTTTTTTATTAAATTTTCAGCTTTTACTTTTTATTTTTGTCCCTCTCTAATCATTTCTGACATAGCATCTGTATTGCAAGGTGTTTTTCCTGGTTATTTATATATGATGTATATGATGTAGCCTAAACATGATCCAGTTGCGTCATTTCATCTCTGAGTTCATCACCTTCCGACTTCATCATCATATCAGGTTACTGACACCATAATATTGTTTGTCATCTAACTTGCATATCTATGCAAAATTTCAAATCTATCGAACATTGGGAAATGGGCCGTATTTGAGTTCCAAGATTTGCACACTAACTACAAGGCAAGTTAAATAAGAGCTTTTATAAATGTATCTATGTTTTCAATGTTAGCTCAATGGCGCATTGTTTAGCGCGTTTGGTGTGCGATGAGGAACTTGTCCTTCGGAAGTTGGTGCTAGCTGCATCTGCAGTCGTTTATACTAAAGATGAAATGGATAGTTCCTTGGCCGGTTACCGAATGCAAACAAATGAAAGGTTACTGAGAAATATACTAGAACAATAAAATGCCACCACCGCCTTAGTTGGTCTTATTTGTTATTACTTAATTTTCAAAAAAAGAGTATTACCTACATTAAATGTTGTATCTTTGTTTTTTTTCCTAACACTTTCTAACAAATATATTTAGTTAATTTTGCATTCACAATGCAAAATTATTATAGGCACTTACTTATTATTTGCTTATGTGACTTCTGAAAGAATATCTATAAAAATGCAATATTTTATTTTTGTATGAATTGATGGAAGTGTAAAAATAATAAATAAATATATTAAGTTTAGGATTTTTCAAATAAATTGTTATAATAATTATGCCTATATTTTGTAACAATAGGGACATGATATTTTTTTAGATCTGGCGTTCGTCCCAACTCGCTGTCTTCATTTTATTTCAGAACAAATGACCCACAATACGATTTGGATTTCAGCACCAGTTGACGACAATCTTTCGTTACCATCGGTTTTTTTTTGTGAAATGTTTGTGTGGACCGTGGATTTTATGTTTGTTGGTTATTTCTTAATCTACTGTTAGAGGATTTATTATTTATACGTCTATCACAAGGTAATTCAGTTCGTCATAAGTAGAGTGAGAAGTGCAAAAACAAAATTGTAGACAACTCTTAGATTTAATAAATTTTGAGTAGCTGTGGATTAAGTATTCTAGTATGGGGGAAAATATATATAAGTACGTAACTTATTAGGTACGTCTAGCTAGGCAAAGCTCTTCAAACTTCTCAAGTCATGCCGTACAAATGGTCATCATTTCCTTGTCCTTTTCACAATTATTTAGTTGGGGTCGGGTTCTATTAAAATTTGAATTGTTAATTTCATTTGATTCATTAAATAATTAATTTGTCCAAATATGTATGTATGTTTTGAATAAATTGCATTAAATTCACATTAAGAGTATAATATACACTTTTATATTGATTAAATACCGCACACTCAACAGTAAGTCAGGTTATATTATTATTAGACTTACAACGAATAGTATATTCCGCCATATGCCGAATATTAGGCATAAGTATTTGGCCGGTATGCGACATAACTTGTATTAAAAATGCAGAAAACTTAATCTTTCTACACTATAACCTTTTCCGGCCTAATATATCAAAAAACAGTCGAATAGACCGAATACTGAATACTAACCGAATATTCGTTGCAAGTGTAATAAATACATATATCTTCCTTTAATTGTTCAACTTTTCATTTATTTTAAATGAAAGTGCAATATAATAATGCAATCAGATAGAGCTCAGAGCCTTATATTATTGTTTTATCTATTACCCCATAATTCAAAATTGTCATATTTTTATTATTGTTTCTTTACGTGTAAAGATCACAAACGTGACATTGGCGATATTGTGTAAAAAAAAGAAGATGAAGAATAAGTGGACACTTGAAATAAATATGGTTTTTTCATCGCCATCTTTCATTCATTTGATTTTCATTTTACATGTAAAAATTAATTTATTTACTTGATATTGGCAAAATTGAACAAAATGCGCAGATACGCCATTAATTAAAAAAGAAGAAGAAGAAGTGGACACTTCAATAAATTTGATTAAATGATAATTTATCTACCGTAATTATGTAAAAATGCATGATAAAAATGCATAATTTTATAGACATACTTGTATGTCTTAACCGTGCTTAAAAATTATTGAAATCCCTATTCCTTTATCCCTATCCCTATTATGAGGTAATTATTCTGATACAAATTTCGTTCAATAATATCTATATATTAATACGTGAAGCAAAAGCTTTGGACCCCCTTTTACGAAAATTGCGAGGACGGAGGAGTAGATAGATAGATAGATAGATAACTCTTTATTGTTGGCATTACACTATTTACAGAAACAAACATAAATTAAACTTAATTAAAATGCAAATAATTGGTGGCCTTATCGCTTAAAGCGATTTCTTCCTGGCAACCTTTGGATGGAGAAAGAGATAGTCATTATAACGAAGACGGGGGTGTACATATAAATACAAAGTATGAAATTTGGCACACCTATAGTTTATATGTAGGAGAATTTTAGGATATTAAAATCATAAATAGTATTAGGACATTATAATCAAATAAATGTCCTAAAAATATTTAGGTTATTATTTATTCAATTTTATCGATCAATGTAGCAAAACATAAATACATACAATTCTGAAAGTAATATTTACAAACTAACATTTGTTATTTTAGCTTTTTCGTTCGCTAGGCGGAAACCAGTTACAGTTATCCATCGACAACCGTATAAACGTATGCGTAGAATTTAGTAAACATTCCTGTTCTAGATGCGAAAAGCATTTAAACACATTATTGGCTATATTTAGATTCTTGAACACGTGTACGAGCTTGTCTCCCGGTCTCAGAATATTAAATTCTCGCTTTTGCTGGATATTCCCAACAGTACAGCTGTCATTCTATTTCCGATACAAAGGCGTTTTCTATAATAACTTTTTATTTGTATGATCTCGTTTTCATCCCAAGTTAATGATTTCAAGATAATGATTTTTTTATATGTATGGATTTCGGCTGCTGCTACCAGAAAAAATCCAAAGGAAAAATATCAGAAGAGTGTATAATATGGATTGCCTAAAGTTTCACCATGGAAGGAGCGATTTTTGTGTAAAAGCAACTGGACCCATTTATTACCCAACACAGCCACCCTATAATCCAGACTTTGTAAATGAAAGTGGCATATTGACTCCAGAGAGGATTTTATTGGAATTGCATGATACGCAGCATAATGACAATAACATGTATAGTACAGATTTTCAATATCATTATGACGATTTGAGCGGGTGGGGGCGTCAACGCCAGTCTCTCTATGAAGGCGTAAATTGGCTGGTGAGTGAGTTATGTTTATAAACTGCGTTTGCACGCTGTTATACTGAGCTTTACTCATTGTTTGTATCCTATAATTGATATAATTAAAACTTCGCTACTTAAGCTTAGTTATTTAAGACAGATAACGTTATTTCACAAATGGGTTTGTTTATCTGAAAGCTTAAATTTTGTTGTATACAATAAAAGATGGATCAAAGCGGGAAGGGTGTCCGGAATGCATCGGACGCATATACCCCGATCTATTTCCGGGCACGTAAGCCGGTCGTGTTCGCGTAGGCGCCGTTCATTTTAATCCAAAACATGCGCGAGATCGGCCGTGGGGGTTCATTAGTAGCAGCCACCATAGCGGCGTTACACAATCGAGTCACCGTAGATACGAAAAATCTAACTGTTAAACCGCGAGTGAGTTCAATTGAGACAAGAAATATCTTACGACCTGTAACCGAAGAAGACTTTCCGTACGATCTGGCAAGACGCACATCAGACTGCAGTGAACGACCTTTATCAACAGCGTCAGAGGCCTCTGAACACGACTCTGCTTCCGTTCAGTCCAGCGAGGAACCGCCCCCACAAGAGAGTACGTAATATACGAACGTAGACGAGTTACTGACGTAATTTATTACTGGATCGCGGCCAAACTCTAAATAGACATACGTTTGTGACTCGTACAGTGAGTTTGTCATGCAGTGTCATTTGTGCGGAGCCTCATGTCCGACCGCGAATATTTGACCGAACCCTTTGACGAGGACGAGGAGCGCGCGGCGGCAGGCTACGTGCATCCCGCCGTGCGCTCCTATATGTACTCGCCAATGGGTGAGTTGTTGTCGAATTTGAGGTTCTTATCGTTTAAGTGTATAGTTGAAGTTTTACGCTTATCTCGTGACAGGCGGTGACTCCGATAGTCCTGAAGAGGCGACAGTGAAATGCACAGCATGGCCAGAAGGCGCAATCGCAGCTCGACCAGAATCCTCTTCCGACACCGAATCGAGTTCTAGCGAAGATGATTCCGAAGGGCGAGAGTATGAAATGCATAGTAATGATGCTGATTATCGGACACTGACTCCTAATAGACGATTGGATAACTCGACCCGACGTGATGAGGACTTTACGTGGATGCCGACAGGACAGAAAATAGAGGAACCTTTGCAACAAACAGATATGAAGGAAAGCGAATATTCAGGAGCTAGTTTAGAGAGAAGGCGCCGGCCGACGGGTGATCGCAGTGACAGAGATCGTAAAAGTCGATCGTCATTATCGGCAGCGAAGCCTCCTCAGCACCCATCTAGCGTTCGTGCATCGCCTCGTCCGCGGCGTTCTCACAACGAAGACACTCCTCCAGAATTGCAGAGGAGATGGAACTCCTATGAACACTTTCGTTGGCCAGAAGGGGGTTGGTGGCCCCCTATGTGTTGGTGTCATGGTCCGCCAGCGCCTCCGCCGTGTTGCATGCATGACCGCGCTTGGCCCTCACACCCTTCACTTCCACCGTCACCTGCGCGGCCGTACAAGGTAGTTTACGGGTGAACGCGTCGTAAACTAATATTTGTTGTGCGAATTAGTTGAAATTGATCCTTTAACCCTTCAAATCTTTCGTAACTTAATATGATGTTACAGTTTTGTGTGTTGTGTATTAGCTTTAGCACGTTGTTTCATATTTTCTAAAAATACAAGGTATAGAAAGATTAACAACTGTTAGATTTATACAAACTATTTAACATGTGACCCTTAGGAATAAATATCTGAAAAATAAGATTGATAATAATATTTAATAATAGATATAGAGAGTCAAAAAGTATAAGATACAGAGAGGAAGTGTAGTAATTGCCGATTTTCTAAAATAAAAATCAATCTTATCCCTTTATTTTCAGAATGACGCAGAAGAGCGTGTGCGTCGCCTGGAGGCGGATAAAGAGAGTTTACAGCTACAGGTGCAGGTCCTGTCGGAACAGATTGCAGCGCAGAATGAGAAAATGAATGACCTGGAGCGAGCGCTCATCGACGCGCGGCAACGACTCGACGATGCTGACCAGAGGCTACAAAAGGTAAATAATCTGATAGTTTTTATATTATGGACTAGATAAATATGGGCTGTTTTCCCGCCACTTCGCCTGCATATATGCGACTGTGCCGTAATGTGCCCACGCGTGTGATAAAGCTTGAAGTATGAAGTAGGTGAAAGAATCTTAAAAATCGGTCCAGTGGGTTTGGTACCTATTCGATGCAAACAAACAAACTTCAAAAAGGATAAAATAGTTTTTCGTATATATGTTATTATATGTTTTATGAAGGAGGTTATTAGTAGTCGCCATTTGATAAAGTCAGATGGTTACATAGAAGTTTCTTGATTATATGACTACTTTACGATAGGTAATATTTTCTCACTTAAATAAAAAGAGAGTCACATAAATATTACGCCAAAGGTAACAAGAATAACAAAAATAAATAATAAAAAAACATATTTAACATTTTCATGAATATGCTTCAAACAATCTAGATAACAGTTTGCCAACTGCTCGTGTTGTCCTGAATAAATATTGGGATATACAAAGCAACCGCAACCACGAGACGCTATTATAGCAAGGCACTAAGCTGTTTAACATTCAACACGGCCTAGATCCCGCTGGAATGGGACTATTGAATAATCATGATCGGCGTGGACCGACCGAACAATTTTAGTCTAGCACACTTGCACTGAAGACCCGTTTGTTATTCGTCAGGGATATATTCAACGTGACATTACTGTTTTGCAGCGATTTATCACAAAATTTTTATGAGATTTCCAATTCATAGTCTGTAGAATTTTATTATTTTTCTCTTTCCTCCTATAGCGTTTATTACAAATATATGTGTTAAGTCGATTTAATTAAAGTGTCACATGTCTGACATTCTAATAAAGTGATGTTATAGTAATTGCAAAGGGAACGAGTATTTGTTAAATTCCACAAGAACCAAAGAACTAATAGACAAACGAACTTTTAATTTCACGAATGAATGATTAAATAAATTTAATATTAGAGTATTACCAATCAAGTGTCAGTTTAATTTGCGCGATTCGTGATATGAAGTATATAGTCGATTTATATGTATGTGCAAATGTTTATAAATTATCAGAAGCAAATTACATGACGTAGTGAATTCAGTTAAAAAAGTTATGTACCTAAATTTATACCGCTCTGTGGCCGTGTCTGAAAGTACTGATGACTCAAAGGAGTTGTGAAATGTTAAAACAAATGTAGGTTTACAATGATTTCATCAACATCCAGTCGAATTTTTCAATATTTTAACTAACCTATGGATGGGCGCAGTTCATTTTAATGATTTGATAAAAAAACTTTTAACATAAATCCACAACTCATGATTATAGGAATATAAACGTTGAATGAAAAGAAGAGTATTATTTTTATTTTGGTATTTAATGTTTTTTATTTATTTATTTTATTAGGGTGGCTAACTGCTTGAATTACAAAGTAACAACAAACTATTTGATAAGAGCAAATGACAAATCATTTAAAATAAATGATTTAAATATATTTTATATTATATCGTGGGTTTAAACATTGTATGCTTTGTTATGAAATAAATTACCTAACTTTGAAATTATATGTAATTATATGTATATCGAGGAAACCATAAATTAGCAATTTCCTAAACAATTCTCATTCCAAACACGGTCCGAATAAACATTACTATGAATATCTTGCAAGAATGAGCAAAGAAAACAAATCCGATTCTAATTCCGTAGTCCATTTAATCTTACCGCGGCGTCCATATATATCGCGAACTACGCCAGATGCTCTTTTTATAAAACGTTTGAGATGCTTTTACTGAACAACCATAAAGTCCATTAATATATTTTTGTATAGTAGGTAGGTACTGTATTATAGTAACATTAAGCAATAGCTATAAACGGTATCTTTTAATTTGGTTGTACAATAACAGAAAAATATTTTTTCACATAAAGGTTGCCTCTCATCATCATCAGATGATGTTCTATATAATATTGATTCATGAATAAATATAAAATGTTAATATTATCTTTTGTAGGAAATGCTTCAACGTTCGTCACTTGAGACTCAGAAGTTGGAACTGCTGTCTAAACTGAGTGAGGTCCGTCTACGAGTAGCGGAGCGTGGCCTTCTTGAACGCTCGCCACCGCCGGATGGTGCTGTCACAACGCTAGCTAGACCGGTACCGCCTAGGGTACGTTTGTGAATAATTATGTCAGTTCATTTGTTGTTGAACATTTTTATTCTAATCAACAAACAGATCATGTTTACAGATTGGCAGCGGATTTTTTTTAATTTTTATAAACAGACAGTATGTTCGGTTACACAAAACTGCCAAATTCTCCAGATAGTTTTTTTTAATCTTGCTTACTTTTAATGCATTGTGGTTAAAGTTCAAAATCAACAGGCGTGTACACCCCGTTGTTTAAAGGAATACATTATGAGCAATCTGGGTGCTTATACCATTCTGTAGTGGAGGCATACAAAGTTCAAGACTGCGAGATAATTATAAATCTATAAAATAAGCAATACAAATTCTGGTTTCAGTTCCCACACAATTTACTTAATTCACGATATATATTTAAATTCTCATACACCACATTCATATATATTGCATACACCTCTCGCTCTCCTCTAATATGACAAAATTACCTAAACCAACCCCCGCCCAATGACGTTTAGCACCCTGCTGCCAACGCAGGCTACAGATAATCCCCGCTTGTGTTCCCTTGGCAAATGTAATGTTCTAAAGAACAATGGCCATCTGCCTAACATGCTTGGACTAGTAAAATCGAATAAAACGTAACTTGATGAAACATATGTTATTTTGTTTGCCTATGCAACTAGAACAAAGAAAGACATTAAATATATTTTTAAAAGCTGGGAGTATCGAGTAATTGTGTAATATGTTTTTGAGGTTATGTCGTATTATTTAAACTGTAGCATTTTGAGCTAGAAGTAATACATTTGAAATATGTAAAGCACACGTCAGATAAAGCCTAATCGTAGTCCTAGAAGGGCATACTTTCACATAATACTTCAAACTTGTTTCATATCTGATAAATTACTTTTATTGACTGTAAGAAATAAAATCATTTTTTGTCAATCAATGAACATCAAAAAAAAACTAGAATTTTTAAGATTGCTCTCAATAACTCTACTTTTCTATCTTACACTATAACTTATATAAAGTAGTAGTGAAAATACTAATTTCAAAAGGATATAGCAAAACAACATGTTGATTTTTCTTTTCTTTATTACAACTCTAATGAATACCTCATCACGGAATGCTGCAGGAGCAGCTACATTCTGTCAAGATACAAAACTATGGTCATTATATGAGGACAGCATCCCAGTGTAGATCGACTAATAAGACAATTACAGCAGTTTATTCTTTATTTATTATTCTTTAAAATGTACACATAAAAATTTTTTTGCTCCCAATTTCTCGACTTAATTCTACTCCTTATTATTAGGACTTTATTTATATTTAAGTCTAATTCTAATAAATCCAGAAAATCCGGCATTTCTCTCCAGACCTCAATTCTATACTACCCATGGAACCTAGTATGCTCCCCATAATACAGAAGATAATACAAAATCACCGCCAAAGTTACAAAACGGTCTGCGTAGAAACACGTTTACACACATTTGTCTAAAAAGGGAGGTCGCAATATCGATTCTTATGAATAATCATTTGTTTTTAATTTCATTATAAATAAACTATTTTCCTCTAAGTAACATCTAATTATATTAGTAATCTAATCTAAGTTTTATAATTTTCACGGCTTTATATGGTTAGTAAATAATATAAGATTTGTAATAAATTCGATTAGTCAGAAATAAAATCGATGTTGTTCTTTGAAAAAGAGAGATTTCTCTAGGAATGACATTATTAATACGATGCGTTCAAAAATAACATAATTTAAACTGCGTTCTAAAAAATAAAGACATATTTTAGAGAGGATATCTTTCTTTTCTAGCTTTTAAAAATAAATTGTTGCTATATAATAATTATATTCAACTCATACTACATTTTGGTGATAGTTCCATCTTGGTACAAGAACTTTTTTTTCGTAGTCCATTTTGACCATTGTTCTTTGTGCCGTTTGAACTTTCGGATTCTCATTTCAAAATGACGGCATACCTATTAGTTGTACGAGTTAACATGACACGTGAAGGCCGATTCTGTTTATCCGAAAACGAAATTGCATTTAATTTCAAAACGCTGCTACAACCCCAAAGAAACGCATTTTTCGATAATACATGATTACGGAAGTTGGACTTGACAATGCCTATGATGCACAGATTCGGAATGTTCCTTGGGCCCTCAAATGTTAGTTCGTACAATGTAAATAATAAATAGCAACAATCTTATTTTTCAGACACCACCCGCAAATAACGGTCGTCAAATCGAGCGGAACACGCACATGTACTCGTCGTTGCCGCGCTCGTCGGTGTTGGCTGCATCGGAGCGCGTCGCGTTCGGTAAACTGCCCACCAATATGGCGGGCGCACGTGGGCGCGGACACTCGGTGCCCAATCTAGGTCTCTGCTCGAATGAGAGAACCTCGCATGCCGCGACATAATGCCACGCCTCTAGGGCCACCACTCCTCATTGAAGATTGCCTGCAAGCATGACAATAGGGTAGTTTCGATAGTAAAATAAGTCACGGATTGGCAGAAATGTAAATGTAGCATTGAAATATATAAACGAGATGTTCTGATTTTGCGACATGAAATCGCATGATCATCTTAATGTTAAAATTACTTGAAAAACAACCCGTCGTAGTGTGACGTTACTACATTATAAAATTTATGCATCTGTCAGATAATTTTTAACTACAGCCTATTTATTTATAAAGCAGAATCCTAGATGGCGCTTACCTTAATAGCTTATTTATTGTTATAATTTTGTAGCAAGATCGTTAGATGACCTGTTCTTGTATGATTGACATCTTTTAATCTGTACATATCCGAATGGCGTCATGAATATGACGGCTAGTGTTTTGGCGGATATTAAAAAGTTTTTTTTTAATCTTTTCTTAAGATAAAGAAACATGTTTATTTTTCAGAAATATTATGTTGTGGCTTATTTAAATTATAATAACTACTTTTGCAGTCAGAATAGAATACTCCATTCACTTACATGAGAATGTAAACGTAGACGTGTATTGACTGAGCGAGCAACTTAACGACGTTGCCGCGCGAGGCAAATTCTCGATAGATCGTAACATAAATTGCCCCAGGGACGTGCTGCCTCGCCAGAATAGAATCTTGTCGGTGGTATGTCATGTTCAAAGGCCTTAAATGGATTTGCCGCGTGCACTCAAGACATTTGTATTTTTCTGCGCTTACTTGACGAACGACAATTTAATTAAATGAAACGACTTTTAAACTGTTTCATCGCGTTCGTATATAGTTTTATAAACGTTTCTGACCTTTTACAGGTTCTATGTTCAGTTCTGTGATAAGGTATTGATTGTCTTTTAAGAAACTTTATACTAGCCTTTCTTAAGATCTTCCAATCGGCAAACATAATTTGCGATGTCCAGGTACTGGATTGGAAAATAGAAACTTTGGAAATTAGAAGTATCCCTACCCCAGATAGTTTGTAATCGCATCTTTAGGGTGCAGCAAAAAATTGACTTCCATCGTTTTAGCGCCTGATTTTTTAATTTTACTAGCGAATGAGTGGCAGTCCTATTGTGTTTACACATGTAACATATCCCGGCTTCGCCTATATGAATGTTGTATTGTGTCTAACGAACGAGTGACCCCGCATGCGTGACCCGATTAATTTATAATTTTAGGATAATAATGTAACTAATTTATTTGCTTGTATTTAATTATATAAAGCTTTATTTTACGTTTACTTTATATTTATGTGTCAATCCAATATTTTGCATGTACTCACTTATATCCTTCAAAGGAAAATGGTAAAGTATTTCAAATGTAGTTCAAATGTATACATTTAGTCATCAAATATTTAATATTCACATTTTCACAAATATAAAGACAAAAACCACAGGCTAAATTACGCATATTATTAAGATATGAAATGGATATTCGGACATTTTCAGTTAGTAAGTATTTGAACAAAGAGTAGATATAATAATGTAGTATTTTTAATCTCTATTTAGCTCAATACAGCATCAGCAGTCTATTCGTCGCATTTACTAGAATGCTAATTTCGTCTAGCTAAAACCGGTTTAAAACGTTTAATGATTGCCGGACACCCGATGTACGGCTAAGCGGCTATTCGTTTCATATCAAAGTGAAAAAGTAATTTTTTCACTCCACAAGGGTTCATTTTCATTGATTGGTCGTTGGTTTATCCTTAACCAATTTAACCAATATAAATCAGCCATAAAATATAAAGATTTTCTCGTATTTCTTACGGTGGAATTTACAACTTTTATTTTTATTTACAATTCAATAAAGGAGTCGCGATATCTGAGAATATCATTTATTAAATAATTTTGAGATTTAAAAATGTTTCAGCGGAGAAAGAGGAAGCCATACCGCGTGGTAGTCCTTCGCCCTCGTTGCGAGAAGTCCGCAGTAGACTCGGCAGTGGCGGCGGAGTAAGATTAGAAGGTGATGACGTCACGAGAGCATCGTTGAGAGTGTCCGCGCCGAGGCCACGTATGCATCCTATGCCTTGGTGAGAACTTACTAAGATCATGGACACCTTTTAATAAAACAAGTAACGGTTTTATTGCCTATTTTAAACTTTATCGAAACGTCATATTAAAATATTTTTAAGATGACGTTTCGATAAAGTTTAAAATATGAAAGTGTGTTATTTGTCTATTTTACGTTGCATTGAACGTCATTATGATAGGTATTGTTTTTGTGTGGAGAGTCGTGAGGCTTGAGAGAGTCATAAGCTACATTTTAAAAACAAACAACAAAAGTTGTTCTTACTTTCTTTTAAGTTTTGTTATTATTAGTGAAAAATGCTTAAAGAATCCACAGGACCCAGGTACTCCGAAATGGGATTCGAACTCACATCCTTTCTCAATCCGGGCGACTGCTCTGATCACTGAGTTACCCGAAATCCTACAAGACAGAAATTTTTCAAGCAATTGATATTTTTCGGAATTAGTGACTTTATTTCAGGCATTCCCTCCAAAAAATCGAAATAAATATTTTAAACTTCTGATTGAAATGAAAATTTTGTTCCAATTATTATTATTTTTAATAAAAAATGTTTAAAAATCCTTTTTGTCCCTGTCACTCTGAGATGGGACACCAACCCATGACCTTTCGTAATCTGGGCAACCGCTCCTACCACTGAACTATCCATGACCTAACAGAACTGTCGATTTTATCAAACACTTGCTACTTTTTCTCTACTACAGAGCATATTTCCATCAATGCTCATGCAATACGCCCTAACAGCCGAAATAAATATTTTTACAAATATTCCAACTTTCAATAAAGATTAAAATTTGTTATAATTATTATATTTGATCAATTTTGCATACACAATGATATACTGAAAAATTTTCTTAATGAAAAATGCTTAAAAAGTCCACTTTGTCCCCGGCGCTCTGAGATGGGATAAAAATTTTGTGAATGCAACATTGATCTAATATAATAATATTGTTATTTTTCGATAGGCAAACGATCGATTTGAGACAGTGGGACTGTGAGACGACATGCGGTTGGCTTGAATCACTCGGCCTGGAGGTGTACGTGCCTGCGGCGAAGGCGTGGCTTGGCGCTACGGACACTCGTGGTGTCATAGCGGCCGCATCCCAACAAACCATAGAGAAAGAGCTTGCCATAAAACATCCGCTACATAAGAAGAAAATAGTCTTAGCACTTACTGATTTGTTGGTGAGTCGAAAGAGATTTAAATTTTAAAAGATTTCTAATTATAAAATGATCTTTCAAAATAACCTTTCACTTTGAGTAATTTAATAAAGTAAAAATAAGTAAGATAAATTAAATTAAATAAAGTTTAATTCATAAAATAAGTTGAATTCTAAAAATTTATTATTTTTCAAAATTTCTTGTGAAAATGCCAACTTCAGTCATGGCGTCGCTATGACGTCATGCTAATCTTATAGTAATAACGTTCTATGAACATATATGGTTTCATTCTTTAAGTTTTGATATGAGTCAGAGGGGCGTGACGTAACGCGCTGTTCGCGATCAGTATAGAACATTTGTTTCTTCGTTATTAATTTAAACAATATTATGAATATAAAAAATAGTGATTTTATTGGTAATAGTATATTAAACACTACCAGAAAAAAAACGTATTTATTTTCGTTTACTGTCTACACCAGCCGAATTGCGTAAACATTTATTTTGAAAATTATTTAACGTATTTTGCTGATGAAATCTGCACAAGAGAGTTTTGGTGATAAATCTATTATTATTATCGATACTGAACCGTAACAAAAAAATCTTACCTTAGCTTTTGCTTATACTGTTAATAATAATAATAAATTTTATATGAAAAATAAATGTAAAAAAAATTCATTACATGAAATAGCGAATGTCAGATCATAGTCATAAGATACAATAGGTTGATAATATATTCAATGTATTCATACAATAATTAGGAATGAGATTTATCTTGCAAGAATTCATTAATTAAATAATAATTTTTTTCCATTAAATATTAATAATAAAATAAATAAAACTGATTTTATTTCCAAGTATATACATGTTTTAATAATATAATTATGTGTTTTAATCAAAGCTTGAAACCGGTTCAGAATAAACCGTTTTTATTTAGGTAAAAAGTTTTCTTATAATATTCCGTTTCGGATCGGAACTAAATGTGGAGTGAAATTCGGATGGAATAAAAACGGTTAATTCGCTAGGTTCGTAATAAGCAATGTTCTTACGCTTTTAATGCAAATTATATCATTTTTAAGCGACGACATTTATCATACCTATGTACGGATGTTATAGATAGGATTATAGGCACTTAAAAACCGCGCTGAAGTTTCAAGATCATTGTCTGGAGTCATATTTAAATCGGTTAATGAAGAGAACTGTATTTCTAGTGAACCGGTTTAAAAACCTGTTCAAAGGAGCTGAACGCATGTCGTTGTCGAACGTCGAACCGGTTCAAAAAATAAACCTTTTTCCAAGCCCTAATTTTAATCCTATTAATATTATAAATGTGAAAGTTTCTTTGTTTGGATGTTTGTCGGTCAATCACGCCGAAACTACTGAACGGATTTTCATGTAATTTGGTATACAGATAGGGTATATTAGCTGATTTAGATAATAGGATACTTTTTATCCTACCAAACATTTCCCTAGGGTCCACGCGGGCGAAAGCTAGTGTATAATATTTTATTTAACCTACAGGGCGGGCACGGTGATCCTATGCTGACGGCGGCCGGTCAAGTGGACACTGCGTGGACGCTGCGATGGTTGGAGGACGTGGGCGTGTGCGGTGCACGGGCGGCCGCCAGCGAGGCCGCGCTCGACGGCCGCCTGCTGCACCGGCTGTCGCACCACGAGCTGTACACGCACCTGCGCGTCACGCACGCGCTGCACGCGCTCGCTATACGCCGCGGTCAGTCTTATGTGGCGTTGTAGTCTTAAACATTACCATGTATCACCAAAGGAGAGGGGGGGGGGGGGTTTAAAAATCTGAAGAAAAAAAGCATAATGTGATTAATGGAACGCGCTCGCAATACGCGCGGTCAATCTGTGTGTTGTCGTGGGACCGTCCATTAATCATGTGATGTTTTTTTTTTCTTCAGTTTTTTTCACCTCCCACCCTCTTGGTAATGTTTAAGACTAACCCCCTTCACCCAAATCACGTGTGTTTTTTAGTACCTACAAAAAATCTTAATTTCTGACGTCGCTTTTCGGTTTAGAAATCCCGATTGTGTGAATGAAACCCCTTCCCCCCTTTTCGAGCCTTACGCTCGTCTATAAACTGAATAGTGGAACAGCCCTGCGATTCTGTAAAAAACCTGAATTCTAATTCACTCGGGTGTCCGCGTTCAGTTCAAAAAGCGGCATTAGTAATAACATATGTGAAGTGAGTTTTGAAATTATATAGGAATAGAATATCTGAAACACGTATAAATAAATTTTGTTTCGTATTTTTTATACAAAATTTGGTATCATTTTACAATAAATAAATGACGTGAATTCGGACACATGAGTGAATTCGAATTCGGGTTTGGATTTTTACAGAATCGCAGAGCTGTTTACCGTTTTTGACGATATTGTCGTTGATGGTGACTGCAAATGAAGAAGCGAAGAAGGTGGACGTAGGAGATAATAACTTTTGGGTCACTTATCCGATGACCGACTTTTGCAAAAAGATGCTGCACATCCGCATTGTAGGCAGAGCTCGTTAGCCACTGCGCTGACGAGCTCCTCAGTATGTAGGACGCCTTGCCTACATAAATGTCGCAGGCATATTGTCCGATTATCTTTTTACAAACGGTATCGTCAGTTTCCTGCTTATTTTGAAAATCGGGAAACATTTTGTAATATACCACGAAATCCAAATGTACATTCGAACGCCGTTTGCAAAATTCAGCTTTTTCTATTTTAATGTTCACATCGACAGGTATTCAAGTATTAAGAGATAACAAATTCAACCCCGAGACAATGATACGTCGAGCTGTAGAAGGCGAGACTACTATCGTAAGCGGTAGCGACGCGGAAAGCGGAGAAGCGACCACACCGAGCCACGAGCTAGCGAGATGGTCATCTCACCGTGTAATGCAGTGGCTTAAAGAAATCGACCTCGCAGAGTACGCGCCCAATCTGCGCGGATCCGGTATAGCAATTAGTTGTTAATGTTACCCGTTTGAGGCCTATGTCCAGCAGTGGACGAATATGGGCTGATGATGATGTTACCCGTTTACTGCTGATATACTCCCTCCCCGGGAGATTCTACAAAAATTGCCGAATGTAAATCGACCAGTCTTTGACTTCACTTGCTTGATCGATCATCCCTATACGTCGAATCTAGAATAAACTTACTTAATCTATTCCTACATTAACTTCGTTCAACTACGTTTTGCTCTATGATATTGTTAGTGGGAGAAGGGGAGTGGTGGATATTGTATACCCCAAATTATTTTAATTATTTTTTCTAATTAATCTTATAACTTATGTACAAGTTTTATTTATTCTACGGTCAACAGCTCGTGTAACTTTAAAAGTTGGACTCCGTACTGTTGTTCTTATAATTGCCGTAGATGTAAGGCACGTAAAAAGCTTCATATTCGTAGGCTACAAGTAAATAGCTTCATGTACTATCGACTTTAGCTACAAATCATAATTAGCTCATCAATATACACATGTGTGTATACATCTTGTCTCACGAAAATATACGTTAGTACACGATGAACTTTCCGTCGAGCATGAATGTTCTAATAACATATCATAAGTTGTCAGTTCTGACGTTCCGTGACTGGCGAGTTTTACAATCGATAGATTTTGAGAATGTGCACTTGCGACGACGCATACGCACGGGCGCTCTAACATACGAACCATTTTCGATGCGTGTGTATGAAGAGAACTCACTCTTTGTACTCTGTATTTACTTCAACACTGGTCATTTGTCAAAATATGGCAAATATTTACGTTGAACCCAACATATGCTTTGCGCTAGGGAATCACGATGCACATATTAAGAATTAACGCTGATATTTAATATTATAAATGTGTACAGGAGTGCACGGTGGGCTAATGTTGTTAGAGCCGCGGTTTACGGCTGAGCTACTGGCTGCGCTCCTCAACATTCCCGCCTCCAAGACTTTGCTACGTCGGCATCTCACGCAGAGGCAAGTATTCGAATTTTATTGTTATTTATTCACAAGCCGGATGAATTAATATGGCTATAATGACATTTGTGCGAAATACAGTGCGCAAAAAGTTGTCATGTCGAACCTATTATATTTTATTTAAAAAAACTAAGACAATAATTATCTTGGGAGTAAATTAACTATAAACAATATACGTCCAAACTTAATAAATATCGTTAAACTTTGATGGCAAAACCTCGTTTCATGATCTAAACATTGTCCCCTTTCTCCTTCTAGTCCCGCATTTCTCACATCCATGGTAATAACCAGTACATTTAAAAAAGTAAAAATATATACTTTGTTGCAATAATCACATGCTTTAAGTTTAAAATTTGTTAAACCCTTTCAGATTCAATGATCTGCTCGGGCGAGACGTGATACAGCAAAAACGGAATGCGGAACAGACACTAGGCTACCAGCCTTTGACTGCAACTACCAAATATAAGGTGAATGAAAAAAATTAATATAATTGAGAAGTATTCATATTGCATAATAATCTTATGTAAACAAATAAAGAATAATCTGTATCCTTAGCCTGAAAGATTCGCTCTCGTTAATTTTTCACACACAGATATTATACTTTAATAAAAATATACTAGTGTTTTCTTTAAGAACAATGTTCTATTAATCTATACATAATATAAAACAAAGTCACTTCCTGTAGTCTGGGTTTTACCCAACAACACAAGGTTTTAATGTGGTTTTCATCAATATACAGAGTGATTGAAGAGGAAGATTTATGTGTATACCTAATACAGGGCCACGAGGGCGAGCGTATTTTCATAAACAACATGTAGAGTTGACGTGTTGAGTATGTTGTTATTTGTAAAGTTTTAAATAGCGTTTATTTTAACTCATAATTGAATAATGTGTGAAATAGCTATGATACTTTTGTCAGGTGCCAAAGAAGAGTCAGTTTTCGTTGAAAAGGAAGAAGAGTAAGGACGAGCTTGATCTTGTGGATCTCGTGTGTCCGCTGCACGACGACTCAGGTGACATGCCCACGTCCCCAGTAAGTTGCTACTAACACCACTAATCTACCGCTTTATTTACAAATAGGGAATATGCGTCTGATTAAAAAAAGTTTTAAATATACGTATTTATTAAGATGACTATTGCTTTAGAATAAAGTCTTTGTATTTTTCAACATTCATTCATTTTCGTTTTGAAAATCATTATTAAAAAGTGCAAAACTTCAAAATATTCAAACGCATTGCTACTTGTCAGAGCAAATGTGACCAAAATATACATGTATAGGGATGTCGTTGTTACAAAATGTTAACGTCGATGCAATAACATTAATGTATTGAGTCGCAAAGATTACAATTAAAATGTTTTAGGCTTTCTTTTAAAAAAAAAAGATCAATAAAATTGTTCCGCTCATCCACTTATAATTTTTTTTTTAGTTCGTTTGATATTAAAAAAGCAATATTTTCTGTACGCAAATCAGTATTATCATTAGTATAACTCACATAGTTTGGAAACACATGGCATCTTAATTTATTATTATTGAGTTTGAATAAACTTTTATGTACCTATTGGCATAAAGATAAAATAAAATTCCTTTAACATAAAAAAGTAAACATTGGACAGTGTCTATTTTCTAAAAAAAAAATATTCTTTTACAGAAGGTTACATAAGATAATATTAATTTTATGTTTAATCTTCTATTCTTCAGTAAGTGAATAATTATGTTTTGACTTATATTCTCAAGGTTGAGTATTGCGTAATTACATATTTTGGACAATGCGTGGTGTTTATGGTTTAACCTATTTAACAAAGGAATTCAATAATCGTGGTTGTGGATATGTATATATTTTAGGAGCGGCTTAACCTTTTTGCTTCTTTTTCACAATAATAAGGGTGTAGACCACTTTTTTGTTTGTTTATATTAATTTATATAAGTTAAATATAAATTTAAATATAATTTTCATAATTTTGCACGAAATACCTATAAAATATTTGTTTTTTCATTATTAATTTTAATAATATTATAAATTAAATAAGCATAAAAGTGTAAATATCGGTAAAAACTACCTAAAAAAAAGTTGGTATTTATTTTCGTTTACTGTCTACACCCGTATTATACAATCACTATAATCGTCAAAACGTTATCCGTAAAGAATCATTTCCAATTTTCACCCAAAATTTACTAACATGTCTAGTGATACGATCTTAAAATGTAGCTTACTTGTTAAATATGAGGATAAAAATTGAGAGGCTTATAATTATTTTTAAATAGAACTATGATAACTACCCGAATGCGATTCGGACCCTAAAATGAGAGTTTGCTACACTACCTCAATGCGATTCGGACCCAATGACGGTTTGCTATGTTTCGTTTCATGTAATACGAATCATATGATAAAAAAGTGCACATTAACAATTACATTTAGATTTGTTTCCATATTTACGAGTCAAACTTTTAAAAGCTTTAATTTGAATACATTAATTTTTAAAGTAGTTTTGACAGCTATTATAGCCTCAAAACATTATCACAAATTACGAATCTCCCTGGCCTCCAGATGGAGAGATACTTAGATATTATTCTATTTTAAGCAAAAACTTATTGAATTTATTATTAATGGTGGGTAGAAGCGACCTTTAAAAAAACATGTGACAGGTCAATAAATGTATGGAAAATGGACATGATTCTTTCTATTACATAAGGTAGACTTATATTTTGTAGACTTTTTGGTTCTATATAAGATATTAATTGAAATATCTACTTTATACCTTACTTTTATCTATCAATGTTCAATGTATCTGCATATAATATAAATAAAATGTATTAATATATCATATTATATTTATAGTTTATATAGTTCACTAAAACACTAGCTTGTAAAAATGGCATTATTGTTGTAACCACGGTTACTAACATGTGTTACAAGCCATAGCTTTTGAGAAACTCGGTTTTGTGGGTCTAATGTGTAGTTGATACGAATCGAATTTATAATATGCTCATAATTTTCGATTTTACTTCGGCTTCGATAGCAGATTGGATTAAAGTGCACTGAACATTCAATACCGTGAATTATATTCGTGTTGTAAACATTGAATGCATTAGATACCACCCGACGTATTGAACATACACACTATTTACAATACAGTAGTGAACGTTGATTTCGTTTTGATTCAATCCAACGTATTGTATGTGAACACTGTATACAATACAGTATTGAAAGCTGAGTGCATTTGATTCAACCTGATGTATTGATCATACACAATGTATACAATACAATATTGAAAACATTTTGATACTGCATGCATCCGATATAAAAATCGGTGTTAGTCTCGCGGTAGGCTTGCCGCTGGTCATGACAGAAAAAAGCTGCTTTATAACAATAATAATTATGTCACCAGACGATGAGAGTAAAATCAGCAACAGCGGGCGTCGCGTCGGGTGTTTATCACCCGCATGACGATACTCGTGTTCACTAACCTCTGGGGCCCGCTTCCTGACTTCGAGGCCTGCCCCCCTTGGTTTTGGGGCCCCTCCCATGCGTGTCTTCGTGGCTTCATTACGTTTCGAAGCTCAGCACCTGCACCTATGCACTTTTCAGCAAAGTAATTTCAGAGATGTATACATCCATACTTAAACAGGTAATATATTTTTTACTTTAGTGTTTCAACATCACATTATAGATTAAATTGTTAGTTGATTCTTAACTTTGATTTATCGTTGTTGAATTCTTCCGATCCCGTTTAGCTTTTATTGTTAAACTCGCAATAGTAAAATGTCAAATCCCACAATTTAACTCTTAAAATGTTAATATCGAAAATCGACTTATCGACTTACGTTCGGTTGCACAAATGTCCATTAAGGTTTAATGACGTCTTTAATCTCTAATGAATGTCAATATTATATGGATAATGTCACTTTAAACTAATTAAAGATTTAATGGACGTTTCTACAACTGGCTGTTATAGTCCCAATATAAGGTAAAGTAAAAGTCCAGAAACTGACCTGTTACTTAAAAAAAATTCTGTATGAACAGGGTTGCGATCTTTAAGCAGATTTTAACTGGTCTCAGTAAATAAAATATCTATACAAGTGTTAATAAAATGATAACGTCATACAGATTTTACTAATTGTATCAGTATTTTATGTTTAGCGTTCATATATCGCACGTAAATATTATTAATATCATGTAAATTAAGCAAAAACAATCTTTATTGGAACCAAGTTGGTGCTAAATTTCCGCAGAACTTGAGTTTTAGTGTAACGGCACAATTTACAGTTGTGAAAAGTAATTAAAATGTAATGCTTATTTAACGAAACGTTTAGATGTAATTTATATTGACTACTACAATTCGAGTCTTACTGCCAAAAACAAATGTTGTTTGTTAGTAGTTTATAAATAAGAATTATCTAAAGAGTTTTATTTATAAAGCGTCTATATTAAATTATATTTTACTATAGTTTCTAAAGTCCATGTCTATATTTTGAGTGGTCGAGATTAATTTAACTGTTTCATTTGAGAGAATGTGTTTGAAATTGATAGAGTTTGCATATTTATAATAATGGACAATAGACATTCCAAAACGTTTCCATTTTCAATTGCATGTTTAATTGTTCTTGAACAGTAATAAGAATTGAAGTAAAAAAAAACATTACAGTACTTAGATCATTTCATATGTAGCTTTTAAAAATGACTGATAGTTGACAATATCGCTAACTGTGGTCTCTCATTTCGATATGCTACCAATATTTTTCATTTATTTGTAATATTAAGAATTACTTAGTAAGTACCATTGAATAGTATTCATATGGATATAAAACAAAGTGTGTTGAATGATTTGTCTGTTAGTGTTTTGAGAGTGTATTTATATATATCAGAATTTAATGATATAATGTGTGTTTTTACCTTCTAAAGGGCGAATAGTTTCTAATAATGCGTAAATAGGATACCCTTTATCTGGTATAATTATAATGCTCCGAAATTTATTTGGCATAAAACATGATATATTTTGTTTTTATGCCTTGACTAGACTCTGACGATGATAGTTCTGTTATTTGTTTTCATATCTTAATCATCACTCTGTCTTTCAAAATTATGAATTTTGAATGTGTGCTATATGAGTATGCCATACGGTATCTGAGAAGAAAGTTTATGCCATTCGTTGCTATGTGTAATATCAATATTATTATGACATTCAAAATTGTACCATAAAGGGTGTACCTGAGTAAGTAAACTTCTATATAGACACATTTAGCATTATTAATACGACTTTTAAATAATCTAAACTACATACCATAACTACCCACAACAGACCCATAGTTAAGCATTTGAAACGCACATTTATAATGGAATTACAGTACTTAGATCATCCATATCCATAAATTCATATTCACAAAAGGTGCAAGACTTCAAGTTTATGCCGCGTCTTAGGTGCATAAGGGCCCTTATATGATTTATAAAATGAAATTCGACACGTATTGTAATTAAATACAATAACCATGAATGCATTGTACTTAACATTTTCTTTTTTGGAAATTTTGTTTGAACAAAAGAATATAACATTTATGTCACAGGTCCTTATGCTTCTTGAGTGCTCTCAAATTAGCACAAATATTAGATAAAATCTTATGCATAGTTTTTAAATATAAAATAGAATCCCGTTCCTTATACGCTGTGCCAATGTTGACAAATAAACCCTAAGTAAAGGATCCTTGTCTTCCATAATATTAATGTATGCATTTCATTGTAAAATTAAGTCTTAATAAATTTCTCAAGCTGAAAAAAAAATACCTTACCTATTGTCTATATACAACCTCAATTTTTTTAGCAACTGGCGTGTGATAGTTATCACAGCTGAATGTAACAATAAAAATAACAAAACAATGTGTACAATAATGTATTAAATAGATTTTACAATAACTTAGTTATAAATAAAAAAGTAAGATAATAAATACTGAACTGACATGATTGTTTCATTCTTTGTTTTCGAATAAAAGTTGTGACTTGGGATAGTTTGCTTCGACATTCTTGAGTACCTTGAGGCCTTCTGCAAAAATTAATAATATATATTTCTTTTAAATACAGAAATATTTAAATTTTACAACATAGCGTTATGTTTATTTTAATAGTTTATATTAAATCTCAGGGTACAGTATGTATATCTTAAATACCAACATGTTTAAGGAAATCTCAATAAAAACCTCAATATTTACATATAAATTGATTCTTTTCCAAAAACTCATGTAATAAATTAACAAACTAAACGTTATTAAATCATTTTAACAATATTTTTGGGATTATTCAGAAATATTTCAATAATTAATAAATTATTTATCGCTTGACTTTAGTGCTATTCTAAGAATCATTCCCGAAACGGAAAGAATTCTTAACTCCTCCTTTTGTGATGTTTATTATTATCTATTGATATTGAAAGATTTGATATTTTGTTTGCATTGAATAGGTTCCAAAACTACTGGACTGATTTTTAAAAATATGGGTTTAGACATTAAACGAAAATAAATTATATATATATATATATATTTAGTAGTGTTTATTAATATACATTACTGATAATCACACTTTTATGCTTATTATATTTATAATATTTACCAATTTTTTTATATGTGTTATGTGTAATAATAATAAGTTAAATATAAAAATAAATGTAATTTTCAAGATTTTACACGAAATATTAAATATTTGTTTTTTCATTAATAATTTTAATAATATTATAAATATAATAAGCATAAAAGTGTGATTATCGGTAAAAACTACCTGAAAAAAAATAGGTATTTATTTTCGTTTACTGTCTACACCCGTATTTTACAATCACTATAATCGTTAAAACATTATCTGTAAAGAATCATTTCCAATTTTGAACCAACATTTACTAAAGTGTCTAGTGATATGATATTTCTTAAAATGTAGCTTACTTATTTCATATTAGGTAATTGAATCTTAGTCAGGATAAAAATTGAGAGGTTTATAATTATTTTTAAATATTACTATCATAACGATTCGATTTGGAATCTCAAATGAGTCTCACACTTTTATGCTTATTATATTTATAATATTGCTTAAATTAATCATAAAAAGAACAAATATTTTATGCTCATTGTCACGTGACCGCAAACAGCGCGTGACGTCTCGACTCTCTTACTTACATATCAGAAGATAGAGAATTCAACTTTATGCATACATGAACGATATTTGCTTCTGAGTGTCGTGACGTCATATGGATGTCAAGATAGAAGTAGCGTATTCACGGGAAATTATGAATATTAAATTTATTTTTAGCTTTTAACTTATATTAATTATATATTTTTTTTTTATAAAAGAGTTGTCTACACCCCTATTATTCCACTTAAGCGGTAAATTTCATAAATCGATTACCTGCCTGGGGATGCCCATCCCTGAGCAAGTCTGCAGACATGCCTGCCTACTAGCCAGACTTGCCCGCCTTATAATAAACGAGGTCTGGCAGACTCGAGCAGAGTTGCCCGCGGGCATACCCGTCTAGTGAATTCCACGCTAAATAATACGCGGGTGAATAGGCTGTAATTTACTTGGTATTCATTTAAATAGCTAGTAATTAATGAAGACCACTAATACCTGTAGTAATTCTTTTTGCGTTACCATCTTTTCACAACCTCTGTTACGGAACATGTCTAAACTCATTTGTCGGGAATGTGCTTGTACACTAAGCAAAACGGAACATACCTTTAGCTCGACCTTTTCTTCTCAGTTCAGCAATTCTTTCAGTTTCACTGTCGTCTTGGAAATTTCTTTCATTCTTTTGCACCTCCTCAACTGCTTGCTTCAACAACGACTCTTCTAAAAATGTTAATTCTGCAAGCATATGGGTACATCATTAAGTATACGAGTACTTCAGTCGGTCTAGTTACTTAATCATATGATTTTCGATATCGAAATTGCTTGCTTTGGAATTTATTATTTATTTTAATTTGTTTTACGAAGATTTACAGACAAATATTCACATTAGGTTACATAGTAAATTATTACGATGCTAATTACAAATCTCCACAAACAGATCGTAAATTAGAGTTAAAAACCTAGAGGACCACTTAAAAGAAAAATGTAAACATTTAACATTCCTGCAATAAAACCAACACATCTATTGATCGTTGTTATCGTCAAAGAAACTGAGGCTCAATAATTTTTTAACATATGTATGTGGTGCTGGAACCAAACAAGTCAACATTATAAGGTTGTTAATTAAATGTATTGCATGCAAGTATCACGAAAGTGTTTGTTTTGTAACGTGTTCTGGCTGTCAAGGTCTTAATCGAAGCTGGTTAGTTTTAAAGTTTAATAGAGATAGTAATTCAGAACAGTCGACCCTTCCGCAGACGATATTAGACAGGTAACAGACGTCACTAATCATTCTTCTTGTCTCCAACTGTATAAAATGATACTTTTTGCATTTATCTTTTAATAGCAGCAAAAAAGATTCTGTACGATAAGTTCGCCAACGTTATTTCGAATTTATACGTATTATAATGACCGGTCCATACGACCACGTTATGTCGTAGCGATTTGACCGCGCAAACAAACCCTATGTCTTTATGCATGCTACGTAAGTTGAACTAAAACGGCAATCTTCTACGATTGGCACTGGTTTCGGTGCCATTCATGCACGAAAATATGCTACTGCGCAGCTGCCATTTTGGTTCAAATTACGTGCAGCACATTATACGGTTTTATTGAATTTCATATTTTGTTGTCTGTTTGACTTACGAAATATGCAAATATTTGTGTAAAAAAAGTCACAATTTGATATATCATCGAGCATTTTGTTCAAACATTTGATATTTGTCTGTAAAAATAAAAAAATTTAATCATACTAATAGTTAAACTAGGTACCTAAACTCGAAACATTTTTTCTATAAACCTACCTAACGTAAAACTAACTGTACACAGCCTTTCAAAGGCAATTGGATACAAATCTTTTAAAATACAAAAAGATTGTTCGTCAAAGAACATTGGATACTAACTGGTGAGCCTGGGATCCATGCCGATCCACGGTCCGCTAAAGATGGCGCCAGCAGTTGGGCGTGATTTAGCTTCGGGCTCCAACAGCAGCGTCACCTGCTGCTTACATTCAGTAGACAGCTGGTTCACCACATTAGTGCGGAATCGCCATTTACGCGTTACCTTAATAATAGATTTTCCAACATCAAATAATTTCTAGCTTGAGATATGAAGAAATCAACAGGTGATCGAATCGAATTACTTTAAAATATAGAAAGCAAACAAACAGTTGTCCATTAAATTATTCGTTAGTTTAATGCCACATTACTTATACAAATTTTTAAAAGAAAATTCATTAGAGCTTAAAGTCGTCATTAGGCCTTATTGGACGTTTGCGTTTGTGTGTAGCTAGTTTGAATATGACCAGATTTTTAAACATACTCGGATATATCTAAGTATCTTTTTTATGCGTTTCATTTAGATAAATTGAAATCATGAAAGAAGTCACCTGTTTCTCATACAACTTTTTCACAGAGGTCTCATTAAACGGTAACGCTTTATTCAACATCGTATAAAGGATTACTCCAATGGACCACATGTCAGCCTGTTTAGGAAGATAAGGCACCCCCTTAAGCACCTCTGGCGCTGCATATGACAATGAGCCACAGTATGTCTCGCTTAGTACATCACGATCCCTATTGCGGACGTTACGTGCAAAACCAAAGTCGGTTATTTTGACATTGTAATTTGCTGTAATCAATATATTTTCACATTTCAAATCTCTGTGTGCTATATTCAACGTATGAATGTATTGAATCCCCGATATTATCTGTCTTGTCCAAAGTCTGCACTGGTTTTCTGGTATTGGTCCATTTTGTGTTATAAAATCGAGTAAATCCCCGTTTTCTGCGAAACGTAAGAATATAAAGTACTTGGCTCGCCGTTGAAATATGTTAGAGACGTGAACAACGTGGGGATGGTTGATGCGTATGAGCACGTCGAGTTCACGCGGCAGGAACTTTGTGAGGTAATCTCGGGGAGCTAATGCCGTATCAATTATCTTGCACGCCAAAATTGAATGTCGGGTCTCGTCAATCATATGGGTCGCTTTATAAACCTGTAAATTAAATACTCTGTAAGTACACGTTGGTTGGACGACGTAAGACGTTAAGCAAGAAGTTCATAACGAAAAATCTTGCTCCGCCCATTCACAACACGACTAGCTTCATCGGCGCTGGCCAGACCAAAAGCATGATACCTATGTAAAACACCTAATTATAACACAATAGCATGCCCATTATTATTCAATTTTGGCGTGCATATTCTGAACTACTGCAGTCTATTTTGCAGATGGGTCTAAAGCTATATTTCAAGTTTTTAACTATGTTTATTTTTAAGGTATGATTAACGGAAATACTGATCCGATCATAAAAAAATATTTTACCGACGGGAAGCTATATCATACGCGGATAACATAGGCTATAATTAACGCGGGTAAAATTAACAGCTAGTTGAAGAATATCCATCATTATTATAGCTGCCTCAAAACGTTCTAAGACTTGAATATCAATGCATCTATAGAAATTTATAACTTTCGACAACGAACCTTGGCATAGGATCCCTGGCCGATATTCTTCTCTAATATGAAACCCTTCTCTTGTAATACCATAATATCTGATGGCGATATGCAGAGGTCTACTCTTTCAGTCATGTGGTCCTTTTATTGGCTGCCGTCTCATTTCATTTTAACTTTCGTAGGCACCATAATTGGTTTTAAGAAGGGTTTCTAATAAAATATCTGTTGAAATATGTTATTTAACGTTCATTTTTCTTGATAATTTAGTTTGGTTTTAGATGATTTATGCATCTGTCACTGGTCTTTAAAATTCTTTTATTACTGTCAACATATCTGTATAGATGTCAAAGATAACAGAACTCCGCAATTTGGTAAAAATCTATGGCATAATCACTTCAAACGGACTATGAACCTAATGACGACCTCTGTAGCTGAGTCGCTGGCAGTTTGGTTTCAGGGTGTCGCCTCTGTGGTGTGTGTCATCCCGGGTTCGATGCCCGGTCGAATCAACGTAGAAAAAGAACTTTTCTATATTGTTTCGGGTCTGGGTATTGTGGTATCTCCGGTTATAGGATTTCCATAATACAAGTGTTAATTTAGCTACATAATTTGGAATCTGATGTACGCGATGTTTTCTAATATTTATATTGCAAATTATTTGTGAAGATAGATTTTCTCTTCACCTACTAGTTTTAGAAATGACTATATTTATAGATTTATTATTATTCTTGCATGGCACCAAAGATAAGAGAGCATTGATATAGTTCGATAACAAAGTGGTTGGTTGTGAGGGATTACCCACCATGTGACTAAGACCATACTTTATAGCGGCATGGCATTCACTTAAGATGAAATTCTTGTCAATCGTACGTTGATATGATTACGGAGGCAAACGAAAGAATCGACATTAGAATTCTGATCCTATGTACGCTAATCCAACTTGTTTATCTAGCCAATTTTTAATAGGCTAACAGCCAGTTACACAAATGTCCATTAAAACCATTTGCCATTAGTTTAAAGCGACATTACCGGATCAACTATGACATTCATTAGAGCCTAAAGGCTTTATAAACCTTAATGGACGTTTGTGCAACTGACCGTAAGTAGCGTACGTCTACTACTATTAACATTTACAAAATGAGAATTTGATTTTAAATAAAACAATTGGTTGTCATATTTCATTCGGTTGAATTTTGAGGAGCTCGCTGGCACAATGGTAAGCACGTTCGCGTACAATGCGGAGATTAAGCAAATTCCGTAAAGGCCGATCAAAAGATGGGTAACCAAAAAATTATTACCTTCGTGCTTCGAGGTGCGTTACGTTCCGAAGCACAAATGAGCAGTTGCTGTTGGCCCCAACTGCACTTGCTTCTTTAACATCCACTAACTCGCAATGTCGGTTATGGCCTATTCTTTCGTCTTAATTGTATCCATAGGGAAAGCTTGTGATCTACACTGGGGGATACTCAATTTATTTCAATGGCAGAAAATATCGCCTCCATTCAAGATTCCATATTAATTAATGAGAAAATTTTATTAGCATGTCACTTAATTTATGACTCATAAAATAGGTAACAGTTATAAGCATCTATATATATATATATATATATATAGACTAAGAGTTTCAAATAAATATTAAAACACACATTTACGATGCGGATGAACCATTATTCGTGATTGCCATAACGGTTTTGTCGGGGAGGCTAGCTGTCTCTTTCGCGGGCTCTTCAGGATCGCTCTCTATCTTTTTTACAAGCTGGCTTCTTTCATCTCGAGCCTTTTTATATGCCATCGTTTCTTGCGGGGACCACTCTGAAATTCAAAAACTATTACAATACCCAATACCCCAATGAACGTTACAATACCCAACTACGTGGTTAAAATTAGAATTACTGATCGAATTACCTAACAACCTCGAGTCCATAGCGACCCATTCACTATTTATTATTTTATCTATTTTGATTCTAGATACATGGTTCGGATCTAACATTGCGGTCACTAAGCGTTTGCAGCTTTCTGAAATCGAATCCACGTATCGCGTACGGAACTTCCAATTTCTGCTCATTTGTGCTTGGTATAGTGGTTTAATCTGTTTATCTTCGAATGGCATCGCTCTATTGATCATAACGTATAATACTATGCCCAGCGACCAAATGTCTGTCGGCTTTGGATGGTACGGAGCACCCTGTAATATTTCGGGAGCGGTGTACGATAAAGACCCACAAAACGTTTCACTGTATACGTCATTCATTTTTTTATCGACACAATATCGGGCGAAACCGAAATCTGATAACTTCGCGTTGTGGTTAGCTGTTAGAAGGACATTTTCGCACTTTATATCCCTGTGGGATATTTCTAGTTCATGCATATATTGAATCGCAAGAGCTAATTGCCGCGTCCATATCCTGGCTTGGTCTTCTAGTACTGCACCCTTTTGAAGTATGTACTCCAACAAATCTCCGTGCTCCATAAATCGCATAAATATAAAATACTTGTACCTCCTTTGAAATATGCTGTGAGTATGAACCAAATGCGGATGATTGAGTTTTATTAACATTTCTATTTCTCTGGGCAAAAATTTTTTAACGAAATCTTTGGGGGCCGTATTAGTATCAATAACTTTGCAAGCCAATATAGAAAGCTTATCGTTTTTACTTGGATTTCTGTATTCTGCAAGGTATACCTATAAGCAAACAGATTATTAAACTGTAGACGAAAAATTTTAATCAACCTCAGCGCGAGATCATCTCGCACTTAAATCTTTTGCTAAAACTAATAATTTAAAATTCATTCCAGTGATATAAGAAAATGGCCGGGATATGAAATGTATCATTACGTGTAGGTATGTATTGATACTAGTAGTAGGTATTATCGCTTGTGATCCACATGTGCTGCCAGAACGGTTGTTTTTAGGAAAATAATGTCAATCAGTTTGATCGTGCATTTTTAGTTACCAAGTTCTCAATCTGCTTTGAATAAATTGTTATCCATAGTCACAGTAATCGATTCTAATGGTTATTTGGTAGGTATCTTACCTTCGCATATGAACCTTCATTTATTTTTTTGATAATTTTATAACCGCGCGTTGCTAATGTCAATTGTTCCGATCCGGTTAATTTTAAGTCTTCGTCGATATGAAACTGCAATTATTCTATAATAAATAATTTTACAAAAGTATTATATAAAATCTTAATGATAGGAAGTAGCTTACCTTAGCCTTACTATCCATTTAATCCGGATTCTTTTGTTTCGCAGATATGGTTGCAAGAGATTTTAGCATTTCACTAGGCTGTGATAAAATAATGTTTGATATATTATTATAAACAAGCAGAACAATTTAACAATACTATCAAATTACTTACTTTGACCGCCGAAATTCTAATTGGTCCTTCATAAATATCACCTTGTCTGTTAGGCGGATTCCGGTGGGAATCAGATGCCCTCCGACGTTCTTCTTTCGCTTTTTTCAGCGCAGAGGCTTCTACTGCATTTAAAGCTACACAAAAATATGCTAATAAAATTATACTCACACATATGAAATCGAAGCTCTATTGTCAACGCAATATGCACTATTACAAATCTCCGAGTAAAGGTTTTTAAAGCAAGCATTTATAATGAAATAAACTTACTAGTTAATCTACTGTCCATAGCAATCCATTCAGAACTCAAAATCTGACTTGCATTGTATCTTAACCCTGGATCAGGTTCCAGTAAGTGTTTCACCACCGTTTTGCACTCCAGTGATAGAATGCTAGCGACACGCGATCTGAACCGATACTTCTTGCCCATTTGCTGTTCATAAAGTTTACGCATACGTGTATCATCAAATGGCATTGATTTATTGAGCATCACAAACAACACTACTCCCAAAGACCAGAGATCAGTAGGTTTTGGCTGATATGGTTTGCCTCGAAGAATTTCAGGTGCAGCATAGGACATAGAACCGCAGTAGGTGTCGCTCCAAGCTGGCTGGTCGTTTTCATCTAAACAAGACCTCGTAAACCCAAAGTCTGCTAGTTTAACATTGTAATTAGCTGTAAGTAATACGTTCTCACATTTGATATCACGATGTGCAACCTCCAATTCGTGAAGGTATTGCAAACCCAGGGCTAATTGTCTCATCCACACTCTAGACTGGTTTTCTGACACACAACCGTTCTTCAAAATGTACCCCAGTAAGTCACCATTTTCTGCAAATCTCATAAATATGTAGTATTTACTTTTTCTCTGAAATATACTATGCGTATGCACTAGGTGAGGGTGGCTTAGTCGTATTAAGACATCTATTTCGCGTGGTAAAAATTTTACAACAAAATCCTTAGGTGCTTTCGATGTTTCTATTATCTTGCATGCGAGAATTGTTTTTTGAGCTGCTTCTTTTCCTACATATTCAGCTAAATAAACCTGCAGGATAAATTCAATTTTAAAATAAATGATGTGACTTGTACCAGGTATCCCGCATCCTGTTGTAATTTCATTTTTTAAATTACCTAGGTACCTTAGCGTAAGCTCCTTCTCCCAAAAATTTCGCCAATTTATAGCCTTTAGAGGATAATGTATTTTCTTCAGATGGAGTTGTTTTCAAATCGGTCATGATATAAACACAACTTCAAGCACCGAGCACTCTGCTCTATGGATACCACCATCAAAAACTGGTGATCCACTAACATCCAGAAGAAGGTCAGGCAGCATTTTTATGTTTATATATTTTGTATTACATAAATTCGCACAAAAAATTTACTACATTTTGATTACGCTTTCATGTTGAAGTCTGTCATAAACTTCTAAAATGAAGTGTCAAAATGAATTTACGTGCGTGACTATATTTTTTTTCAAAGATAATAAAAATAGATTCAAAGATTGTAGAAAGAAGGACAAACAAGAAAACTCAAGCCCAAACCAAAAGCGACAAATTAAATGGATAACTAGAAAATGTGCATTAAGTATAATTGGTGTTCTAGATGAATAAAAAAAAACTAATTGTGATATTTCTTACAAATGTGTAACTATTATTCATTATAGATTTCATCTTATCGCAAAAATTTACATGTCACAACAGTTTAATAACTGTGTATTTCAAATATTTCCCAAGTATCAAGTATGTCTACAATAATAGAAACATGAACAAACAAAATTCTTAATTTAGTCTTTATTGTAACTTTATGAGGCAAATACATTGACATAATAAATAGCATAATTAATACCAGTTTATAATACATTTTTTTCGTACATAGTCATGTCGATTTCGACTTTATTACTCATATAATAGTTTTTACTGATGACTAGGTAAGAAACTTCGGCCTTCCTGATCAGTTAGAAATGCAATTATTCATACAGCCGGAGTCGGCAGTAGGAATAATATCAGGGTGAAAAAAAAACTCTTTAGCTCGTCAGTAAGATAATAGAAAAATAATAGATACCCATTTTTTTTATTCAAGTTAACATGAAACAACTTAGAAAAGGTGAAGAGTCCCCACTCCACGCTCACTACGTCTTAACTATGTCGAAAATATACAAAGGTGTGACGACATGCGATATTACAACTCAACGTTTCCACGTAATTTATCGACTACGCAAAAAATAATAAAATAAGTGATTAATATTTTTTTGTAATTTGCCTGACGCACAAAAAGATTTTTTTTTGTTACCATACCTATTCATGAAAATACAAAGCAAGACATGAGATCTTATATATGTATTTTTATTTGATATCATGGACACAATTAAAATATATTTCACACTTGTAACTGCTTTTTGCTAAGAAACTCGCCCGCCAGAGATATTCTTTGCAAAAATGACGGAGCCGGTGTTAGTAACAACTCATATTTGTTAGAATCAGGGTGTCCCGGGTACCTATTTTCCTTTCGGATTCTTTCTAACATGTGCTGAGGTTCACATTTTGACTTAGCTTTCCAATCGTTATTCAGGAATTCTTGTATCACTTTTGGCAGCAATTTGTAGGCCTCTTTTGCTTTAGTAACACTCGGAGGCTGTAAAGTATCCTGCGGTTTTTCTGCGATAATTATGTCATCAACTTCAACGGTGGTATTGGGTTCTGTTTTATTATCTGACTCTTCTTTCTTTTCATCTGTATTTATTTCACTCTTGTTATAATAATTGGTGATACGTTCTTTCACAATATCTCTTAATGTAGAATCATTATTTTTTATTTTCTCCCTTTCTGTCCCATCGATGTTGACATAACCCGTCCTAGTCTCTGTTTTTATGAGCACTTGGTTTTGGTCAATCTTATTTTCGTCTACAACGTTTTCAACTGTTGCATCGTTGATTTCTTCTATTTTCTCTTCAATTTGGCCTAGTGTTTCATTTGTATTGTTTTTGTTCATTGTTGAATCAATCATAGTCATTATTTGTATGTTGTCTTCTTCTTCTAGGATTTGATATATTCGATGTACTTCACTAATGTTGATCCTGAAAAAAGATCACCTGAATTACAGAAAATATGTGGAAGTCCGGATCGAGTATCCGATCCGATATCGGTTTGTTTAATGTGCTATTTTTTAGATATTTCAACAAATTAATGTAAAAGAGAATTTTAAAATAGTCGTCAAAAATATTGGCATAGGTATCGCCAAACCAACCTTAACGGAAAGTACATTTTTTCGATAATTTTGAACGTATTTCCTGGTTAATACACGAATTTGATGGACAACAGATGAGGGGAAGTCATTAAAAAATAATAATGGACAGTGAACATTATTTTACAGTGTCGGCCCCTGATTGAGCAAGAAGTCCCATTTCTTAATTATTAATCTATATTTATTAAACATATAAACCTTCTTACAATTAAATAACATATATACTTTTTTATCGATAAGTAGTTCACAGAAATATTTGGAACTGATTATAAGTGACATTTATCGAAAATAATTGTCTTAACAAATGGAAACCAATAATAGAGTTGTAAATATTATGACTATGGCGATTTTACAGTGACGGTCCCTGATTTATCCAGACGTCCTAGTTCCAAATTATTAAACTATATTTATTTAACATATAAACCCTCTCAATCAAATAACATATGAGGCATATTTGGATTATATACTTTATTTTTAACAATGAACAGCTCACAGAAACGTTTGAAAGTGACATTTCAACAAAAATGATATGTCTAACAAACAAAAAAACGAAGTAAAAAGTAGTAAAGAGGAAGAAGAATTTCTAATCACTCACCCTTGCCTCCCTTCATGACAGCAATATAACATAGTAGGGTCTATAGGATGTGCTTCTGTATTGAATATATATCCACCAACGTCGACAATGCAGGCGCCATTGGGCGTGTCTATAACGGTTCCGTGCACGCCCGGGTTATGAATGAAATTATCGGGATCAAACAAGAGGTACAAGTATTTTGTAGTTTCCGCCAAGAAGAATGATTCCATACGATCTTCTTTGCGGTGATCACGCACGTCTTTGATCTGAAAATTAAAAGTTAATACTGAACTTTATTTACACATTTAATAAAACTAATTATATATAATAGGTCATGAAAAAGAATGTTGCTGAGGGACATATACAAATTGCACCCGATGAACCAGCTTACAGAACAGAAGGTTGGACCATGGAACTAATTAAGAAAGAAAAGTGCTTAAAATAATTAGTAAAAACTATGTAAACAGTAAAATATTATTAAAACTGAAAAAAATATTTTTAATACTCTCGTCATGGGAAACTTAACATTAAAAATATCATTTTTAAAAGTATTTTTTGGATTCGGATATGTTTTGTTGACATGTTGCACTGTGTTTCCATATCAATAAATGTTATTGAAGTACTATTACTAATAGTATCGATTAATCGATTAGTTTTAACTTTAATTAAAATGAATGTAATTAAAGTTATATATATATTAATGCATATATAGTAGGTAATCTTTTGCAATATCATGTATCAAAATATTAAAAACGTTACAAATAATCCTTTTCGGTTAGATATATAAGTTCATTTACAAATCAATCGATTACTTTTCATCGATAAAAGATTTTTATATGGCAACACCATTTCACTTTTGTCAACAAAGACGTTTGAGTGATAATTCTTATTCGGCTAGGTTATGTTTTGATTTTGTTGTTACTTTCTATCAAGAAGAAGAAGACCAATTTATTTCCGTGAACTCGATTTACATTGATAATGGACTCCGATACCTCTCGAAATTATGACCCGGCTATACCTCTGGACACCGAACCAAGCACAAGTAGTGGACATCGTCGGCAGCTTTGTATAAATTGTGGAAGATCTATATTAAATACTAGATCACAACTACTGCAAACAATATCCGACAGAGGAACACACATTAGAAATGTAATTATTGATTGGAAATCCCCACGACTGGTAGGATTATAGTTATTTTTATTTATTATGATTACTTTACTACAATTAAGCTTCCTTTATGAAAAGTATAACATTAATATATCGCTGCCATATTGTTTAAGTAACATTTTGTTAACAAATAATTTAATAATATATTATTCTCTTTTAGGTGCATGGATCTGATAGCATCTGTCATTTGTTGGCAGTGAGCAGATAGAGTAACAGTTCCTTCTAATATTCCAGAACCTACACAGACCATTACCGGATTCTAAAAGAGTACCTGATTCACAAGCATATTGTAGTGTTCCAGATTGTGACTCACCACAGCGACTGACAGTTCCCACATGGCTTTGGATAAAATTGTTTGTTGATTTTAACTTTTATGTACCAAAAACCAGTAGGCTGTGTAGTTCTCATTTATATTATAATAATTGGACTGAATGGTTGTCTATCATGCAACTAATTCATACATTTACTACAGAACATATACAAGCTTTTGCATTATTTGTTAAAGAAAGAAATCATACAATGGATTTTAACAACATTGAAGGAATGCCTGAAGACATTGTGCACTTTTGGATAGGTCTGTCTAAACTTCAGTTAAAATCAAATTCCTTCCTGGGTTATCTGAGATGTGTATTGGGGAGTTAGGGCTTGTTTGCTTATTTAATTAAACTATGAACTGGGGATAGTGATGAGAGAATATCAACTTTATTAAATATACCTCGTTCAACATGAACAAAACTATTAGTAGCAGCTTGTGAATTACTAAATGTGGAATTTGTTTCTCATAATTCGTTGACTGCCCGAATGCTAGCCTCCAGCTGAAGAGAAACTGTATGAGCAGTGTAATTTATTTATTAAATGATTTTGGAAAGTGTATTCTTATAAATAAGTGTATTTACTGTCTTTTGCTTGTACAATTGTATTTTCAAATTAAAGGTAAATATGTGTAAATCTACAATTTTTTTATTTAACCATCTCTGTTTGTTATTTCTAACATAAATAAATTAATATGATGATAAGGTAATTAAAGTGTATTACAAAAAAAGTACTATCGTTACATCGTTTATGGAATACTACATATGCTTATATATTTACAATGTTAAACTTTCCCATGAAAATATTACAATAGTTAACTTCCTTAAGACATGAAATATTAAAAAATAACGTTTTTTATAACTATAGATAATGTCCACTCAAAGCCAAAGTGCCCATACAAACTTTTGACCAGTCCCATTTTTCGAAGATTAATATAAAATTGTGAATGCAAAATTGTTCAGATAAGTAATAATATTCAGTAAATCAATAATTTTTTATCTGACCTGCGATTCTGTGAAAATCCAAGCCCGAATTGAAATTCACTAGGGTGACTTCAAAAAGCGGCACCCGCTCAATATCGAAATGGTAATAACGTTTCGTGGCATAAGTGAAGTGAGTTTCTTAATGACATAGGAATAGAGTATCTGAGACACGTAGGTATAATCAATCAGTTTTGTGTTGTATTTTTATACCAATAATGGAATTAATAGATTTTTTTTTATTAAATGACGTGATTCCGAATTCGGTTTCTTACTTTTACAGAATCGCCCTGATGTATTTGGAATTGAATAGGACTTTGATGGTTCAGAAGTTAGTGCGTTCGGTGTGCGATGCAGACGTTCTCCCCATTCGATTTTAATCGATTCTATTCATAGGGAAGCTCTGTACCTCAGCAGTAGGGACACCAATAGGCCAATAATGTTGATGATGTCAAATGAAATGTAGATTAATATGGGGGTAATATGGTTGTCAAAATACACGATTCTGTTATATGTTCAGAAAAAAATTAACCATTTTATCTTATAAATATTTTACAAAATTCGCTACCGTCACAAGGCGTGACGTCACTTCATGATTTGAATTTGTAATGAGCGTTTTCAGCCAACTAGCAACAGTTTCACAAATATAACAGCATATCTCTGGACATGCTCTTTTACGCTTTTATATTATTTCTCAGATATAAATGGACTATTTATTTATATAATAATAAAAGTAGTCAACTAGTCTATTGTACTTACTGTAGCATATCCGCAGTGCGTTTTCGCGCTATGTTGAATACTTCTCAGTATATCTTCGCCCATTTGCAACAGTATTGGATCTCTGGTTTCCCGATAAAGGTACATTATAGATTCTATTAACTCCGGTCGCAGCGGATAGCTCTCTCTAGAAGATGACGCTTCGCCCGTACCCAAGTTGTAAACCTCGGGTGTGAATCCATACTGTTTCCATATACTGTGGTAATTGTGGATTATACGCATAGCAGTATCACTTTCACCTAATATAAAAAGAAAGAGATGCACTTAAGTGGTTTTTATGCCTTTTTTTATTAACAACCAGTTCTAACAAATTATCATAATCTTTACTCATAAGAACATTTTTGATGTTACTTATAATTTATTTACTGGTAGTAGAATTACATTTTGTGGAATTTTATTAAACAAAGAAATATGTGCTTAGAAATACGATACCATTGTTTGTTTAAGTCTGAAGTTTGGAACGGCAAGTTACCTACCTATCAAACTAAGCAGGCCAGGCCAGTAGGATTCCAGGGACTGAAACACTGGCAGAGTAACATGACCACGGAGCATAGTTGCCCACACAAACCAGTCATCCTTCTTCAGATATTTGTCGATAGCCTGCCTCGCTTCCACAAACATTGACATGAGCTCTGGCTTCTCTAGTAATATAGAACCTGTAAACAACACAAGGTGACATAAAAATCATGGCAAAATATAAATAATATTAGTGTACTTTTCAACTTTCTGTTTAGGTTATATTTATTACGTAAGAAGATTTTGCCACTTTTTCACCCACTTAGGCAGTGTGTCTATGTAAAAAATGTAAGAATCGCCTGACCTGTCCCCCCATTTAACAATTATTAAATATTTTTTTGTTATTTTATCCTTGACATTCTAAATAATCTTTACTTATTATTCCTCCTCCTATTAAGAAAAAATGAAACATCTTCCAATCTCCTCTCACCCTAAAACATCTTAAATGGAGTTTTAATTTTTTTGGATAAAAACATGAATATCTTACTTCCATTTATAGAGGTAGATGACGTTGCGCATATATAAAATGTGATATTTAGAAATCGTTGTTATTATACAATCAGGGCCGTATTTAAGTGGGCCAAGTGGGGGCACTTGCCTTGGGCGCCAGTGTTAAGGGTCGATAAGATCATCATTATATTATAATATAGTACATAAAAACAAAAAATATCTTTTAAAGTAAATAAATATACATAGGCAACGATGAGACGACATATTTTAATACATTGCATAAACATGGTAATAGAAAAATAAGTGCGCAGGGCGAGGGGGGTGGATATAAATGCAAATATGAAGTGTCTGTTCCAGTCGGAAAAAGAATCCTGGCCTGAAAACAATGTGAGTTTTATCGAAAATCATATTGACCTTTCACTAAATATTCATAGTATGAATCGACACCGCCGCCGATCCCGGCGTCTTGCGCCGTCCAACGTCCTGTCATCACATCTATGTGGTTGCCTAGTAAACCTATAGGAGATCTATGATGATATAATGCTTTCAGAGCATTATAAGCCACCTAAAAATATACAAATGGATAACATATATTATAAGAATCAATTAATATTCTAAAAACTATAGTGTATGTAGTTTCGGTTCAATATGAATATAGATTTTATTAACATGGCAACATAGAAAAAATTTAAACAAACATTATTACGATTGTTAGATTACACATTACCTCTTCAAATAAGGGATCACCAGTTAGGCGGCTAAGTGTTCCAAATTCAATGATGAATGTCCCAACACCTGCAGTGCAAGTTACACTTGTCTCTCCTGGTGGGACACCTGACCTTAGATTGATTGTTCCATAAGGCATGCCAGTTGTGGTGTCAAATGCTGCAATAAGCCTTTGCGCCACATCTTCAGCTAAACGTAGTAGTGGACCATTGCACGGCCAGCCTGGTTCTAACTTCATTCCAGTTCTGTAATAGGGGTGTAGACAAGTTTTTATATTTTTGTTCTAGAGATATACATGAAACATATCTAAAAAAAATGTAACATTCCTTTAATAATGGTGTTGCTATAAGTTCTCATATAGTAATAGAGGCGTGACGTGACGCGCGCTATTTGCGGTCAAAAAAAAAGTCAAAATAATCTTTATTCAAATAGACTTCTTAAAAGTACTTTTGAATCGTCCAACATTTTTTTCCCTACCACTCGTTCAGGACGTCTTTTGGCTGATAAGAAGAACGAGCAAGAAACTCACCAGCTCTAGTAAGAGTAATGACATTTACAAAAACCATGTCATTACCAGATCAATATATTATAAACAAAGATAAAAAAACTATGGTCTTATAATATAATGATAACATAATTTAATAATAATGGAAACAAGATAATGAGTTTAGAAGTAATCACCCATCCAGTTGCTGGATCATCTCAAATCCAAGCATTCTTATCTATATATACCTAATCGGATACCTTATAATAAGCTTTTTTTATAAGTATTTTTTAATAGTAGATTTAAACTGCATGATATCTAATTGTTGTATTTTGCTTGGGACCTTATTGTAGAAGCACACACAAAGACCCTTAAACGAGTTATTAACTTTTTGCAGTCTAGTGACAGGCACCATTAATTTATTTTTATTTCTTGTAATAAAATTGTGTACATCACTTTTTATAGAAAACAAACTAATATTTTTACGAACGTACATTAAGTTCTCGTATATGTATTGAGAAGCAACAGTCATAATGTCTATTTCCTTAAATTTCTCCCTTAAAGAGTCCCTAATCCTAAGATTATTAATTGATCAAATTGCTCTTTTCTGAAGCACAAAAATTGTTTGTATGTCAGCAGCATTTCCCCACAATAGGATTCCGTACGACATCACACAATGAAAGTAACTGAAGTATACTAATCTGGCAGTGTCTATGTCAGTTAACCTACGTATCTTCATTACGGCATATGCTGCAGAGCTAAGTCTACTTGACAATCTATCAATATGTGGTCTCCACTGTAGTTTAGAATCTAATGTTATTCCTAAAAATACTATGGTATCCACAAGGCCCGGTCACGTGACAACGAGTACAAAGTATTTGTTTTTACATAATTAATATAAGCAATATCATAAATATATAAGCCATAAAAATGTGATTACTGGTTAAGCACTACAAGAAAAAAAATATTACATATTTATTTTCGTTTTATGTTTACACCAGTATTGTCAGATTCTTATTAGTTACTAAACATATAATTATAAACATAGTATAAAACGAAATCATAGTGTTAATTATTTATAAAACTGATTTTATATACATGCAGTAATTGAACCACTTTTATAATTAAATACTGCAATTCTTAAGTTGAAATAATTTTTTTTTATGTTTATTAAATTAAATACTTACTTATAGGACAAGAGATGTGCACTAAGCAGACCACCAATTATTCTGATATTGGTTTCAAATACTGAAACATTTATGTCAGCATCAAAGTCTTTTTTTTGAAGTACAATTTCAACAACCCTGTTGAATTCTGTGTAGTTCCCCATAATAGCTAAGGTGTCGAGGGCATCAATGAGGGTTAGTGAATAGCTCCCCCAAGTATCCACTCCATCACAACTGAGTGGCCTCAGCTCATCATAGGGATAAGCATAATGCAGGTAACTGTCATAAGCATGTTGAAACATTTCACGAACCTCCTCTCTGAAATTAATAGTTGTTATTTTGTGTAATCATCATCATCATCACCTAATATAAAGACCTCACCACTGCTGGGGTTCAGGCATTCCCTATGGATGAAATTGAATCAAATCGAATAGGAAGAATAGATCATGCTTTACCATGGTAGCCCTGTATGGATTATTATAAATGACCGCAGATGCAGCTGAGACCAACGGATTAACATGCCTTTTGAATTTGAGACGAGCTTAAGATAAAAAAATATGATCACTCATCATGTGACCAGCCCTTGCAAAAGTTGCTTAACAACCATTTCATTGATCCAGTGCCCTAACCAAGACACATCAAGCTCATTTATTTTATCAGGACTACAATTGAAGAATTTGGCACACTAGCAATTTTACACAAATACTGACTGTCATTAACCACAGTTCAGTGAACATTATTCATTCTATGAGAACCAAGGGTAGATCCATCTTTGGCTCCGCAGAGGGTGGGGGGAGGCTTCACATAGTCATGAGAAGTTAATTATTATTTTAATAATATGTCGCTCACTGAATAGTACAGTGGCACAACTCAAAAACCATTATTTTGAGAAAACGCCAAAACATTGTGATGGCATCCCATAGATAATTTAAAGAAAAAATAAGAAACTTAATAGAAATAATATAATACGAACAATTTAACTGTTATGCTAAAAAAATTGATTTTCATAATTATAAATATATTAAATTTTCATAACTTCAGAGAGCATTTCTTGAAATTATGGTTTTTGAGTTGTGCCACTGTACTATTCAGTGAGCGATATGTAAAACATTATTTTTTTATAGTAGTTGCGCGCCCCCGTGCGCGTACACGACTCTCTCCTACCCAAACTGTGAGTACTCTCGTGCCGTCTGCACACCCCGAGCGCAGGCCCTGCTGATTTTGTTTTTTTCAAAACACAAACCAACAGGACTTGACTCATTCTCAAGTTCTTGAGTTGGTGGATACCTAACGGTGGCAACTAAGCCAACTGAGCGATCCCGGTGCGCTCGCTAAGGCCCTTCAGGCTTTAGCAACACCGAAGACCCGATCCCAGTGCACTTGGGCCGTGTCCCAAGGGTGAAGGTTTGCCGCTATATCCATTAGGGATAGCCGCACTTTTCCGCGTCGCGTTTTTCCCCCCTCGCTCCGGCGCGGGGTAGGTCTTTTGCACACTCGCCCTATCTCCCTCTAACCTACCAAGGTAGGTGTGACGGAGAGAAGTGCGAGTGAAACACAACTACTCCTCTCTCTCTTTTGCATCTAACGGTTTGCATTGCCGATATGTCAGACATAATAAAGAAAAATAAACTCCTATTCGACGAAATACGGCGCATGATGCCTGATAGCGACTACCAAAGAGTCATTGCCTTGACCTTGACCATGGCTGCCGCCCAGGCATCGTCCGTCCCCTCAACCTCCGACATGGAGTGCGAAAGCACATCCATAAAGAGGACCGCTTCTCAGCGGTCCCCCTCCTGCCCCTCTGCACCGTCGGACGACGACCTTCTCAGGACGTCTGATTCCGACGAATCCTCGGGCACATTTCATACGGTTAGAAGCCGTAAGAAGCGTCGTAAGCCACGCTCTCCCAGAGCAAGTGCGGACGCTTCCACGGAAAACGTCTCTCCAAAGCCCCGCACATCGGACGGGGTGTCCTCGGTAAGCAAAACCGCCGAGAAAACCTCCCTCGGCCCTAACCTTACCAGAGGCAATACCGGCAAGAAAGCCACTCGGGAGAATACTCCTAGTATTACTCCCTCCTGCACCCCGCTGCGACCGCATAATAAATGCAATCCGCAGCCGGGCAAACCTAAACCTCCGCCTCCCGTATTTATACGGGATAAATCAAGGTGGGCAGAGGTCTCGAATCTCTGCACACAAAATAAGATCAACTACACCCATGCCAAAAACATGGGTGTAGCTATCCGGGTGGAAACACCCACTAGCGAGGACTATAGAGCCCTCACTAGACTTCTAACCCACCACAAGGTGGGTTATCACACCTACGCTCTCCCAGAGGAGCGCAAAGTTCGTGCGGTTCTAAGAAATGTTCCGTACGAACTCTCCACCGATCTGATCCATAAGGATCTCAATGAACAGGGATTCCCTGTAGAATCCGTTCATAAGATGCACAGTAGAGCCGGCAGGCCTTTCCCGCTGGCTCTACTCATCATTCCAAATGTCCCCAACGCCCGGGACATTTTTAAAGCTAAAGACCTTAGGGTCTGCGGCCTTTCCGGGGTTAAAGTAGAACCCCCTCACCGACGCGGTACTCCGGGACAGTGCCACCGATGCCAACTTTACGGGCATGCGGCGGCTAACTGCTCCGCGACTCCGAGGTGCGTAAAGTGCCTCGAGTCACATCCTACAAAGGAGTGCTCTCGAACCCGAGACACTCTTACCCCTCCGGCCTGTGTACTGTGTGGCCAAATCGGCCACACTGCCAACTATAAAGGTTGCCCACGAGCGCCGAAGCCCAAACCCTCTTCTAAGAAGAGGCCTAAGGGCCCGGTGGTCAACAAAGCGCCTAAAGCCCCCCCCCCGCCCACTGCGGCGAATTTTCCCGCCTTACCAAAGGCGAACCACTCCGCCCCCAAACCGGCTTCACAACCGGTATGGGGTCCCCCTCCAAAACCCTCCCAGACGAAGCCACCAAAGGCTTCCGTCCCACCTCCCAAAACCGCTCCTGCTCCATCATCTATAGCCGATGACATAAATCTAGTCCTCAACTTGATTCGTGGAATCGACATAGATGAAATCACCACCCTAGCAGCTAAGCTCCGTCGCGCTTCGTCCACACAGGAACGCCTTCTGGCGCTGTGTGAACACGAAGCGTTACTAAGTGCATTATCAAAGCACTAACAACATGATAGGTCTCCCAAACCCAGTAGGCCATTTCACCCCCATCATACTGACCCTTCAGGTCAACCCTCTCTGCCCTCTCGACCTGACATCCCTTCAGGATGCAGGCCACACAAATTGTTACGGGTATCTAATAGCACCCTTCTGGTGGTATGCGATGCTCCCCTCCCTGCCCTCCACACGCCGACCCTTCAGGTCACACCCTCGTCCGATCCGGCTGATCGTTCCCCTTCAGGGAGTCAGCTGTACGTACCTCAATCCGATGTGCCGAGCCCCCCCGGGTTAACGGCTAACATCTCGACGTCACTATTCATGTAAGTGTTTAGGGACGTCTGCGCCGCCCCCCCCGTTGAGGGGGGGCGGTCGCTCCGGTTGAAGGTTCGTTGCCTCCGGGTATGTAACCAGTAGTCCAAGGCGGTGTTTAGTCAGTAGGAGTCTGACATAACCCTCACAGCCGGCTGTGTTGGTATCCAATGAAGGATTCACCGCCTCCTTCCTCCGTTGATGGGAAGGTGGTTCCGACTTAATAAATCTATATTGGGACAAAAATAAACCATTGACAATGTTTCTTGATTCTACATTCAATAGAAAATAATATATTAATATATCAAATAAAAATGAGTCAAATTGTGAGTAGTATGTTAGACATTTTTTTTATTATAATTTTTAAGTTGATAATAGTTTAGAGTAAATATAAAATAGATAAAACATGAAAGACAGTTAATTAAGTTATAATTAAGTATATGCCAGTTATTAAATGTTTATTCCTCTGTCAATAAAGCAAACTTAAAAGTAATACTATACAACAATTAAATAATAATGTTTTAAGCAGAATTTAACAATATGTTGTTTTCTTACCTTAACTTTAAAATATCTTCTTTTTTATATTCTCTAAGTGTATTACATGATTTAATGTACAATAAGAACAAGTAGAGGGAAAACACAATTTTATCCAAAGTATGCATGTTGATTACTGTAAAAAAAAATATTGAATTTTTTTCCAAGTTCCTATTTACATCACTTAAACTATGAAGGAACCAGTTATGATGAAATGATAAAAAACGAACTATATACAATATCTATATCTTCTCAGTGAAATAAGTTAAAAAGATATTAATAACAACAACATAACTAGTTTTTAACATCTCTAGTAATTTATTGGAAAGACTTAATTCAATGAATAAGGAATTTGATAACTAACATTGAACTGTAAGGGTTATTTGATATTAACTTTCTAAATACAAAATATTTTATCGTTTACCATTTTAACACATATTTCTTCTTCTTTTTTATTCATGGCCTATTTGAGTTTACACGACTTAGCCAATGTCACGACGTAGCTGTCAAAATTGTCAATATCAGCTGGACGTAGTGCTGCCAGCATGGATATCACAAAAGTCTACGAATATTGAAGTATTTAAAAAAAATTGTTCTCGATAGTAAACTAGATGTCACTAGTAATTTTCGCATAATGCGATATTCATTCAAATTTCTTTATGACGTCATAAAAGTAAATTGAGTACCAAAAATCAATAAGTGCATTGTGAATGCAAAATTGATCAAATTCAATAAATATGACATTGGTTTGTGTTTCTTATAATATCTATCTTTCAAATTGATTTTTCTTTATTTGACCTGCACATTTCCAATGGGCTTTTAGCGGTGTTATTTACTACTAAATTAAGGGGGTGAGCAGCACAGGGTACGTAAAAAGCACGACGATTCATGTCCAATATTTTTATGGAGGCATATTGGCCCCATTATCATATACTTGGCCTCGCAAATCATCTAATTGAATATTGAATGATTTAAGAATTATAACAAATAAGTTGCCAACCCTTGTCCGGTAATATCATTTACAGGTAAAAAAATCCTAAAAAATATTTTCGTACCTTAGCGCGTTTTGTCGATGTATTTAAATAGTACATTACGATATTAGTGCGTTATAACCAGAGGTCGGAATTAGGTAGACTTATTTATGTACTTGCATCGAAATGTTGATATTAATGTGGACCTTCCCGGGATTTCTAATGGATAATTTCTAATTCTTTGGCCAGCCGATGTCATTGATGTAAATTTGGCAACGTCGTGCGTGCAGTAGTTTAAATTGTGTAAAAGTAAATAACTTTTTATTAAAAAAAACAATCTGCTTTCCTGTTAAAATTAATCTTGGGATTTGAGGCATATCCACTTTATTCTTTCGCTGTATGAAATCAGTGTAAGTACATGAATAACTCTACCTAATTCCGACCACTGGTTATAACCAATACGCACGTATATCGTACGACGATTTTTAACACAATGGCGAGGAAACAGAAAAAAAACCCTGGTATGCTGTATCATTGATACAGCCATATTTTATGCGTGAGTACGTCTATGTATGAATATTGATGTAATCGTATGTAATTGATAAAAAACAACCCGGAATTATGCAACGTTTTGGCATAATTGCATTTATAAATGAATAATTAAAAAAAATAAAATAAACAAGTTGAAGACACTAAACACTAAACAAATAAATATTCGTTGCGTTCATTTGTTGAATGAAAAAAGTATTCACTAGCGCCAACAGATGGCGTTAGTGCATGTACTCCTGCTGACAGAATGCCCCTCCCCCTGCAGAGCAAGCATAGTTCACTTATACGCCAATAGATGGCGTTAGTGCATATACTCCTGCTCACAGAATGACCCCCCCTGTAGAACGAAAACATAGACGTATCCACGTCAAAAATCATTAAATAAACTCAATCTGTGAATGTACACTGTTACTTTCCCGCCATTTTACCAGCGCGCTAGCGTTGCCTACTGACTGGCGCCGCACGGCGATTAGTTCGAAATTTGAATAGCAACAGCGCGTGAAATGGCAAATAATACTGTTATGGAATTTGTATGGACTATAACTTAACTATTTGCTTTTGTAACACACGCGTCTTTTATGACCCGTTTTACATATTTAAACCGGTGGAATTACATCAGCTTTACGAGCAAAGGTTTTAAAAATAAATAAACCTCACGATAATAGTAAATTGTTCTTGATGTGTAATATCAGGTGTGCAATCTAGAATCACAGAGTAGTATTGATTGATTGAATACTCTTTATTGCACTTTGAAATACAGAGGAAAAATAGATACAGTATAACAAATGACGGCCTTATTCCTAAGGTAGCAATCTCTACCAGGCGACCCTAGGCTAAAGGAAACGATACCAATTATAAAAATTAACTGCGGGTTAGTGCATTCAAAAGACTAACATAGTAGTTTTTTTTTTTTTTTTCAGAAATTATACTAATTTATTCATTTTGAATGTTATGACCAAGATAATGTTGCATGCAATGCTGAGCTCTTTGAATTTGAGCAATGTGTTCTGAAAGGATTCTATCAAAATTAGATATACTCTCTTCCAACTTTAAAAAATTACCATTATTTGGGTCTTAAAACTTCTCAGTTGTGCCTCTAAATGCTATATTTTGACCTGCCAAAATTTTATAATTTCGATTATCCTTTCCAAAACTGCCGTTCACCTCTTTTTCTCGCATTCCATTTTAAGTTTGATTTACCGAATCTACTGTTAATGCTGTCCATATTTTTTAAAAGAACATGTGCCCTGAACTATTTTCATGTCGTTCTATATTTTTTGACAAATTCCCCCAGTCTTTGTAACTAGTGGGGCCATTAAATGCAGTGAAATTAAAACTAAAAAATTTACAATGAAAACAAAATACAGAATCAATAGATGTAGAATATACAAGTCAAACTCAATGAACAATTTTGTTGTTTTGTAATTTCTTACTGTAATATGAATCTGAAAACGACCTTATGTTACTACTACCTTTCACCAGCGGCTTCGCCCGCATGGACCCCAGGGAAATGTTTAGAGCTATAAAAAGTATCTTATTATTATTATCTTATATATAAAAAGTATCCTGTTATAAGTCAGCTAACACCAAGGAACTTATACCTAAACTGGAATGTGCACTGTTCACCGAAACGCGGTCCGAGTGAGATAGCTTGGCGAGAGCCCTGTGTCCCTTACACTAGGATGGCCATAGATTTAGGATGCCAAACAATATAAAGTACTTGATAGTTTGGATCATGTTTTGATAGCATAGACCATGTATGTACGAGAATGTAACTCGATTTCATCTAAATCTAATTATAAAATAAAATGAATAAGGGGTAATTTAGGTTACTTTTACTTTAGAACGAGCTGATTTAGGTCATGAATGATGGCTAGCCACGGGCACCAACCAGTTGTGATATAAGCATAAGATTAAATAAAATTCAGTATGAAAAAAAAATTGAATCATTTATTTCAAATTTGAACTCACCATATTCACACATTGCTAAAAAGAACTGTTTTATGCAATTTTTGTCGTAACGTCGTTTTGTGACCTAAAATTTTCAATGTTTGTGTTTTACCGTGGCTTATCAAACGTGCGGTAAGATAATGAGACGCTATACTTTTAATAAACTGCATTTCGTGTGAATCTTCACAGTGAAATGATTGGACTGGAGGCGGGGGATCAAAATACTTTCTTAGAGAAATATAAACGTTTTGCAAAACAAATAATATAACCGTGGGAGAGCCACGCTTCGGCATGAATGGGCCAGCTCGACCGGAGTGATACCACGGCCTCACAGAAAACCGACGTGAAGCAACGCTTGCGTTGTGTTTCGTCGTGTGAGTGAGGGTACCGGAGGCTCAACCCCTCCCTACTCCCTTCCCTCTATCCCCCAAAACCCTTCCCTCCAAGGCCGGCAGCGCACTTGTAGCCCCTCTGCCTTGTTTAATAAACAAGGCAGTAAAACAATGTTTGAAACTTAATTTTTCGGATATTTTTTTTTGCACAGCACCCAGACTTCTCGTTTTAAAACGTCAATTTCTTTAGATGCACATCGCAGTTTCTTCATAGGAGGTTCCATTGAAGTGCTGGGCATAGAGCTTATTTCAAATTTATTACGATAATATTTACAGTTTTCTCATTAATCACCACTTCCTGATTTACTATCGGTGTACTGGCAGCTTGGACAACTATATTGGTTACAATATTTATTTTTTTGTCTTGCGAATCAATCTGTAAATGAAAAAGGCTTAGTATTTATATTTGTACTATAAAAAACACCACTACCACTAATAAAAAGTTCTGAAACACTTTGACTTAAAAGGTTGATGTGGGGTGATCAACGTGAATGTGTGAATGAAAAAAAGAATTTTTCAAATCGGTCCAGTAGTTCCTGAGATTAGTGCGTTCAAAAAACAAACTCTCCACTTTTATATTATTAGTATAGATACAATGTCTTTACTATTCATTACTCACCGTTGAAAAAATAGTTGGAACAGCATCTGATTTCAGTTTTGAAGCTGAACTATGTTTTATCATATATCTTGTGGCCTGAAGTGATGACTGCAGATGACGGCATAACTTTTTATATTTGTTGGATTTGGAATGACGTCTAGCCACTTTCTTCTCATGCTTTCTTCACGAGGCAGTCTGAAATAATATTTTAGAAAAAAGGTTTGAAAATCTTGAGCATAACCATACCTGGGGGCTAATTAAAAGGTATACGAGTAATATGACGCTATCTCAATTAGTGGACGGTTTAATTTAATTTTTTTTAAGCAAATCATAGCAGGTACAAATATTTTTGTGTTGGTTAGTTTATTTATTAGGCTATATTGGATAGTGTATAACATCATCGACATTATCTATAAGCGGGAATATGACGGAGGAATAGCCGCAAGCAGCCAGCTTACCACGAGGGTGGGGCCGCGAGCAGAAGCTAGTAATTAACATTTTGCTTTGCTTATTATTGCAAATAATAAAAATAGTGATATGTCTTATCTACAGTAATATAGGTAAAAAAAAATTCACTAGGTATACGGTAAAAAAATCTTCACTTAAATACTTATTAATAAGCCATGAACAATTATTGCTAAAATATTTATATTTAGAGCTAGCTATTGTGATGGGAAATGTAAAAGGATAATTTTTATTAATTACAGTTAAATACCTACTTAGTCCTACAATTTTTTAAACTACGGACACAGTACTATACGAAAAGAACAAATACTTACTTAAAGAAAGAAATACCGCACCCAGCATAAGATTCACTATTACAATGATCAATTGCACACTTTTTTACCATTTTGAGATTCGTTTGAATGAAGAAATCGAGTGTTTATTGTGAAATTACGGTAAAATTATTTTGTTCCGTTACATTATGGCTGACGCGCTGCCATTCTAATTTATATTTATTCTACTAACAAAGTTTTATTTTTCAATTACACTTCAATATACGGCCAAATTACTTATAAAAAACTTGTAACAGATGTTGCAAAATATTATATAATATATAGAACGAAAACTAAAGATATTTAGTTCCATATAACAAGTTTGCATCTTCGATTTTTTTCTACCATTTCTAATAAATTAAAATTACTAACTTCCTGGCTATACTTTAGAAAGGGACACAGGGCTCTTGGGCCGGTTTCTCCCTCGGCACAAATTTCTCTCCAAGCAAAGGTTGTCCAAAATTAAACTAAGTGTTAGTACACATAAGACTCATGTTTCCTCAGTATTAAATTGTCAGTGCACATTCCAGTTTAGGTATAAGTTCCTTGGCTAACACCCTATCTGTATACCAAATTTCATCAAAATCCATTCAGTAGTTTCGGCGTGATTGACCGACAACCATCCAAACAAAGAAACTTTCACATTCTGGTCCTGTTTTAAGTTTATAAGTCCATGCACGCTTATTTTCAATCTGTCTATTTCTTTCTCTATCTACTATTAAGCGGAAATTAAAAAAAAAATAGGTAAGGAGTTATTTAATTTACTTTTTTATAGTTTACGGAAACCTACAACAATTTCTAACAAAATTATGTTATTGGCTTTTGTTTGCTATTTTACATGATTAAAACGTACTATTTCTTCTACGTTTGTATTATGAGCAAAGATATTTTTATTTTGAGAAGCAAAGACACTCATTTGAAAAGTAAAAAGCATAGACTATATTTGCCCTTGTTTCTATTGGTCAATATTTGAAATATCATAGATAAGAGAAGTAACGTAAACTGCAACAGCTGAACGAAATGAAAACGTCCAAAATGTCTGTTGTCCGTTGACGCCTGCCAATATCTCTGAAGGTGGATTCAAGTATATATCGCTTTTTTTCAAGTATATTTCATAATTTTTAAGAAAATGTGTAATTAGATTTGCATAAATATTAAGTCCACACGCTTTGGTCGCCAATAGTAGCCACGCGGCTCACGTTTTAGCTGAACTGGTAATTCGTTAGAATAGTGTTAAACGTAGTGTTTAAATTCTATTTGAGTTATTACGGAGCAAGCGGGGCGATGGCATTCAGAATTCACGAGGACCAAGAGAACTCAGCGTTGGCGCTAAGAAAGGAAAATGCTGATGTTTTTTCGGCTGTTAACCAGAGACGTGCACTAGGCGACCTTAGCCATTACGCCTGTAATCAAAACCAGAACAACAAAATTGTAAGTTATGAATAACTTCACTTTGAAATTCAATTTTTTCTTTGCTATATATATCTATTAACTTTTATCGTTTATTATTATATCGTCTAGCCCGGGTTAACAAATGGACCATGCAAAGTTCAGGACGAGAACAGAAAAATACGTCAAATTAAGAATGAGAAGAATATTGTTCCTCCTGTGGCACAATTTCGCGCGTTTAACGTGTATGAAGATAAACCTACTGAAGTAGAGGTAAAAAAACGTGAGCCTACATTTAAGCATTTCATTACTAAGGATATCAAGAAGGAAAATTACTTTAAAAATGAGGCTGAAAACGTCAAAGCTCTATGTGCTCAAATCAAGAAACAATCAGAATGGCAGAAAGATGCACCTGTGGCAAGGTAATTCTTTAAATTGATGTCTTGGCCATCTTGAAATTATAAAAAATATTGGAGGTAGATTTGCCTCACTAGTGCTAGCTCCTAATATATTTATTAAATGCTTATAAATGACATTAGAACTAATCTATTCATCAGTTGAAAATAAAAATACTGATCACTTTAATTTGTGACAAAGATCATTATAACACAAAGTTTATGAATGCTCAAAATTTGTTGGAAAGTTCCAAAAAGTGAAAATTGTATTTAATTTTAGATACCAAAAACTTCAATGTTAATTTTAAAAGCATTACTATTGTTACTAGTATAAAACTGGTTAAGAATACTTAATATATTTTTAATAAACAATATAATTGTCTATAAGTATTCTGGTGCAAATGGTTACTGTAAATCATATAAATTTTAATTATTTTATTCTCTTTCAACCCACTAACATGGTGATAAAAAGGAAAAAAGGTTGGTATAAACAGCTTGCCATGTGTATATGCTTTTAATAATATATATATTTTTAAATCCTTGCAATTAATATTATTTATTAACTTGAATTAAATTTCATATTTTAGACTTCCGTTACAAGAAAAAAAGGATCTTGAGTCTCCTATGTCCATTGTGGACTCAAGCATTCTGTCAATGTCTATTTCTAAAAATGAGAGCCAACTGCTTGACAGCATTGATGAGGATGATGCTGATGCTGCCGCTACAGCCCAAACTGATAGAGAAATGTTTTTCCATGTGGAAGAATATCGTCAAGATATTTATGAATATATGAGAGAGATTGAGGTTAGTATGTGTGATCGCTGAGTGACAAAAGAACAATAACAGATTTGCATTAGTGGCTTATGCATGGTTAATGTACCTTCATTTATTATTTTCATTGTAGAAGAAACATATTTATATGATAAATTTTGTTTGGTTTAACACTTGATTGAATGAATCTCGTTTATTTAAATGCTATCTGTAAATTATCATTACCAACTCCTTTTTTTATTTCTAAAATTTTATTACTTATATAACTAAACAAGGTGAGTATTCATTCCCAATGTATTCAAAAACATTATTTTTGTGAAATTTATTGGTAATATCCCACAACATTGATTCTCCTACTATACCCAAATAGTTCAATAAATTCCAAAACTGTACTGGGAATTGTCATTTTGAAAGTACCTACACAACTATTGACAAGAATTATGTACAAACAGACAGATCCTGTAACTCGCGAAAAATTACAGACCAATGTGTGCGCATGTGCAGCCTTGTGATTAAAATTACCCCGCACACTACCCCTTTTCTTCCCCTCGCCTTTAAACTTGTTTAAAAAAAAGACTTAGTGTGTGTTGGTATTGGTCATTAGACGCAATGGTTAGATTGTGTCCAAAGCCTGATACATTGGCTTATTGGCTTCAAATGTATGGAAAGTCAGAATCAAAGTTTAATTTATGTTAGATACTTAAATCACATATCTTCCGTCGTCCTCTGTCAATTTAACATCCCATCTCCATAATAATGTGTTAACTCTATCTTCAGATTGTCAACTGATTTAGTTAAAATTATTAATAGTTATAGTCGAAGGAATGTCTTTATTCTTGGTATTAACTATTGTAGGTGAAAAACAGAGCAAACCCCCGCTATATGCGTAAACAGCCAGATATCACTCATGTGATGCGTTCCATTCTGATTGACTGGCTTGTGGAAGTGTGTGATGAGTATGGACAGCAAAGTGAGACTCTACACTTAGCTGTATCTTATGTGGATCGATTTCTGTCATACATGAGTGTGGTACGGACTAAACTGCAACTTGTAGGTACTGCTGCCACATACATTGCTGCGTAAGTATATTTTTCTATAATCATCAAATTTATTAAAAATATTATAAATTTTTTAATTACCGTAGGTAATGACATATTTGATATCGAAACATGTTTATTGTTAAATATCTAGTCTTACACCCATTAATTCGTAATTAGTTTATTCAGGGTTAACCCTGATTATATCATAATAAGGGTTATCCAAATATTTTTTTTTTGGATAATTATCGCGACAATTATGTATTTAATAACTATCCATAGTTACTGGCAAATACAGAAAGTTATTGTAAAATAATTCGTAATAATTGTAAAATAATTATATAAACTTCTTTTTGAATTGATAATTGTATAAATTTTCTCCATCAGAAAAACCATATTTGTTTAAAAATGATTCTCCTTTAATAACAAGTTCCAAAGTACAAAAAGAATGTGTGTCGTATTTTATAACCATAAAGGTTTTATATTTTATTTCTTAAATCAAAAATTACTATTCATGTAATTTGTGTAGGAAATATGAAGAAGTATATCCACCTGAGGTGTCAGAGTTTGTGTATATTACTGATGACACATACACAAAGCGTGAAGTGCTGAGAATGGAGCATCTTATACTGAAGGTTCTGTCTTTTGACCTATCGACGCCTACCTCCCTTGCATTCTTGTCACACTACTGCATTTCTAATGGACTTTCTAAAAAGACATTTCATTTAGCAGCCGTAAGTAACAGTTGTATTTTTGTATTGTCTTTTTTCTTCACACAGCTCTTAATATTAATCAAACTCCACAGTACATTGCCGAATTAAGTTTGCTGGAAGCAGATCCGTACCTACAATTCAAACCTTCAGTGATTGCTGCAAGTGCTCTAGCTACCGCTCGACATTGTCTACTCTGTGATCACTGTTCATATGATGAGGTTGACTGTGCACTTGAACGGACTATGTTTATTTCTAAGGGTAGGTATAATTAATAAATATAAGGGTAAGGCTCTCAGTTGTATTGTGAGGTAAAAATCATCTGCTATCAAATTGTTGTACAATCCCCTATTCTGCTATCATTATAGAACATTTTTTAAATTTATTTATTTATGATGATAATACAATAATAGACTAATGTTTGAACATATCAAATGATTGTTCATCATTGTCATTATTAGATCTACTACTGGCCTTTTATATGATAGAATCACATAGATAGATATAACCATAACGCCCAGTGAGTATTGCTGAGCTTTAAAGACTGAAGATGCAACCAGGAGCAAAAGCCTAACATGCATTCTAAAGCACTGAGAAACTCGAGACAGTATAATTGTTAGTTCCTTAACTCTAAAAGTTTGAGGAATAAAGTCAAATAGCCAATTACAGACCGAATATCCCAAAAACTATGCTAGGAGGTCTTCAAATGTTTGATTTGTACTTTAACATGTTTGTTTGTCAGGTACGAATGGATCTTATTCGGAGGGTGGTGTACACCTCTCGTGTGGGGTAGCAGCGTGGCCGCCAGCGTTGGCGGAGAGCTCTGGCTACTCACTCGCCGACCTCGAAACATGTCTGCGGGAACTGGCGCGATCACACACGCATGCACGCCGGCAGCCATACCAAGCTATTCCCGACAAGTACAAGAGCAACAAGTTAGTACATTATAAAAATATCGTCTCGTGTATTCGTTTACCACCGAAAATAAATACATATTATTTCTTAATCACACTTTTATGCCTATTATATTTGAAAAAACAAACATTTTTATACTTGATGTCATGTGCAAACAGAGCGTGACTTCACCCTCTCTTACTCATATCAGAACTTAGTCAATTCAACCTTATGCATAAAAATATCGATATTAGTTTCTGAGGGCCGTGGCATCTTAGCGACGACATGGCAGAAGTGGCATTTTCGCGGGAAATTTTGAAAATAAGAGGATAAAGCTGTACTATACATAGTGGAACTGCCCCCGACAGGAATCTATATGACCATCCGCTAGTTGAACAAACGCCAGTTCCATTATAATTATCATTAATTTAAAGCGAAATTACCCATACATATTTGACATTCATTAGAGCTAAAAGGCGACAATAAACTTTAATGGACGTATGTGCGACTGAACGTATATGATCTGTGATTTATGTCATATTGTAGAGGGTAGTAATAGTAGTTAATTGATGTGGATATTTGCTCTGTATCTGAGTTAATTAAGGTGCTATTTGAAAAAAGTTTTCAGTGACGAATTTTTGAAACCTCAATATGGATGATGACTGTATAAAAAAGAAGAAATTCTATTTAGTCTGTTATTATTCAGATACTACAAAAATATATGTATTTTTGGTTCAATTAAACAATAAATTGCTTATATAATAGGCATTTATCGGCTCGCTACGTCACAGCTTTGTAGAAAATGTACAAAAGCGTGACGTTTTGCGACATTTAAAATCAATATATTGCTTACGCGATTAATTATCGCTTAATTTATGGCTTACGCAAAAATATAAAAAATACGTGTTTAATATTCCTGACGGAGAAACAAAAATTAGTCAACATTCCTATTGTCTTGCACGCACTCTTACAAACGTACCCTTTTCCAAGGTGGTTAAACTTTTAATTCGGTTACCATGAAATCATTCTTGCCGTTCTCGAGTTATTATAAATGGTTTAACTAACGTGAATTTGCAACTTTGTTTTATATAATGTAATTATTATTAGTTTATATCGGATTTAGAGGAAATAGATTTTCAGTCATGCGCCAGTCCTGATTCATCGTTCCAATCTTTAGATCGTATGCGGGCTGACACTGAGGTGTTGGGCAACAAGATTTCTAAAGCCTTCTCTACTGTACCCAGAACTTTCAACGTTAGCCATGTTAACGCTCAAAGCATACCGAGGCATTATACGGAGCTACTTAATGGTTTCACTGCTGATATCACTCACGCGATATTCATTTCGGAAAGCTGGTTTAAACCATGCCACAATTCTTTTACATACGCCTTACCCGGTTACGATCTCGTGCGAAATGACAGATTGGTGAAGCGAGCTGCCGGTGTGGCCAGCTATGAACTGGTAACTCAAATCAAATCGTTGATACTTCTAACCAGTAACATCGAATATCTCATTCTTGAGATTGCATTATCTGGTTCCAAAGAAGTTCTCGGAGTCCTATATTGTCCACCTGCTGTCGACTATATCCCTACTCTAATTTCCGTGTTTGACACGTTTGCAGTCAATTACACACATCACATGATCTTGGGTGATTTCAATATTGATCTTTTGAAGGACAATCTTACCTCTCGTTCATTTCGATCAACCATCGAGTCGTATAATCTCTTTCTTTTTGAACTTGATGCTACACACCATAATATCGAGACAAATGACACGTGGATTGATCACATACTTGTATTCTCTCAAGATAATGTCATGGTCAAATTCCAGCTACGGGCTTTTCCCGACATTTACCTCTCCTATAGAATCAAACCTCCTAAACGTACACCGGAACTGGTAAAAATGCAAAACTTTGCACGTATTAACCTTCAAAAGCTTTCATGGGACGGGTCGGATTAAGATTGGACGGATATTCTATCTGCACATGATATAGATGATAAGATCAACATTTTTAATGGGTTAGTTTTAAATCTTTTTGATGATCAACCACTGCGTACAGTAAACATGTGTTCAGTAGCGCCAGTCATCTTCAACAATACTTTCATGAAGTTTTCTTCTCATGTTGTAGATTTAGGCATTTGTATTGACAACTCACTAAGCTGGCACACATAGATCGAGTCTATTAGCCGAAAAGTTATTGGAGTCCATTTCTTCTAAAATCCTTTTAATACGATCAATAATTTTTCCCATTATAGAGTAAGCTGATGTCTGTAATGCTGATATCACACAGGAACTTCTCAACAAATTGGATCGATTACTTAATTTTAATAATCTTAATTGCATACGTTTTATTTTCTGTCTTCGTAAGTACGAAGTAATGGTTAACTATTCTGCAACGTCGAGATATGAGGATGCTCTGTACCCTTCATTAAATCCCATTCCATCATTAAAGATCTATGTGCACCTGGATATTTGAAATGTAAGTTTCAGTATATAGGTGCTTCACACTTCGCAACCTTCGCTCAAACAGCAAAGAAACTGTCGCCACTTCTTTTCACCGTACAGGGTTCATTTCAAACTCATTCTCGCTTCAGGTTATACGACTTTGGAACGCACTCCTGCCCCAAATAAATTGTTTCAAAAGATTGTTACTCAAAAAGTTTTTGAATTCTCCTACTGCATGTAATTAATCTGACTTATTTATATTTATGTATATATGTACTATATGTTTATTTATCTTATGTAATTTGTTTGTTATGTATACTTATTTCCATTTTATTTTAAATGTATATATTTTTAAATTGTGAGACACTTTATTTATTTTTTGTGTAGCACCGCCTTATTAAATTCTCTATGTCTTAACTCTCCAGTTGACTGGTAGCGAATGCCTACTGGCATTTAGTCTGCCATTTGTACACTTTATTTGTGCAAAGAAGTTTAATGAAGAAATGATTATATAAATTTCAAGATTACTTACAATAAAGATATGATGTTACATTTCATTGAAGAAAATTATTATTTAAGACTCATTTTTGTGCATTTGTGAGCTTTTGAAGTAATGTTGATTTGCATGGTGCCAGAATTGTTTCAGTCACTATTTTTTTATAAATGTTTCATCTCAAATGAACCAAAACAGCTTGAGCAAAAATCAGATGTGTTTTGAGTTTGAATTTTCTGTAATAAACGTTCATTATGTTTCAGATATGAGGCTGTGTCGACGATTGAACCCAGACCAATGTATCCAGTGCCAAAATATGAAGCTCCGGCGCCCGCCAATAATGCAAGACCAACGACCACTGAAGTAGCGCGCGCGAGCTAGTATTATCTAAATAAAACTACACATTGGATTAATAACTCGACTTTTTCACATAGTTCTGGCAGAAAAGATTACATGGTATAAATAACGCGCCACAGTATTATTTTATGTTCAACGGATCATTGGTACAATGGATCCTTATAAACAATTAAATAGCGTGTGATATCCAGTGTCGATGACTGAATAGTTAATGGTTTGTACACAATATCGTAACGTTTTTGAAGCTGATTATAGCCAATTTTGCATTTACGAGAAGGTGAGTGAGCTTTGTTTTGCAATTTATATAGTAATAGTTAATTGGTTGGTTTTTGTGCATTTACAATATGGAAATGGAGATAAAATGCTGGATTTAATTTTTGTACCGTTATCTGCGAACTTATTTGTCGTCTAATACATGGCTATACGTACACCTTAATTAACCAAAGACATTTAAAATTGGTCATCATACTATTAGTCTAAATAAAGACCCTCATTAAATTTGATTGAGAACAAGGATTTGCTATGTATAAATATACGCTTATCAATATTGTTTACGGTACAACTAGGACCAAGCTGAAAGTGCTTCATTAGAGTCTTCAGATAAAAAGGTCTATTCAAGGGAATATTTTGATTCAATGAACAAGTAAGATATAAAATCTAGCTAAATAAAATACTCTACGGTGATTTTCCGCTTAGTCTTGAGTTGAAGCTTAAACTAACAATATCCATAAGATTACTGTATTTCATAAACATTGACCTCGTAAATTAATTTAAGTGACTTTGTGTTCAATTTTTGTGCAGTTCGCTTTCCATCTTCGCGATTATTTCTATTGGATTCTATCCTAAGATAAATACAATTCATAGTGTGGTAAGTAGTTAATAAGTCGGATATCTAATTAAAACAGTTGTTGGACCAAGTTTCTAGTGAAATTCGTTGTATATTGTATTTATGTGAGTGTTCATTCGTGGTAATAATGATTATGTAATATTGTGATTGTTTATTAAACTTTTACAAAATAAAAATAATATACGGACAATACTACCTCACTTATGAATTCGATTAATTAAAATTCTCAAAAAAAAAACTAAATGAATAATTATTTGCGACATGTGACCTACTTCAACTTTTATGTTTCATTTGCTGTAATGTTTGTTAGTAAATTATTATTTTTGAGATAACTATAAGGTATGTTTTTAATGTTGGTAAGTAGTTTTTAAAGTAATTTAATATAATATGGATATATCGCTCCGACTTTTGTGAAGGGAGGTCAGTACGAGTACCTATTTTGGTAATATATTGTAATAATAATATGAAGTTGTTTAATTTTTATTTCCCAATTCGTCCACTAGGATTTGAACCATATATACATGTCAAACAATTATATAGGTATATGATGAAACTTATTTTTCAGTCTGGGACATAACGGCGTTAAATGGCTAAAATAAATGCTTTTTGATATAATTAGAAATAATGTGGCGCTACTGAGCTGACTTCAGTCTGAAAGCTCCATGTTATTACTTGTATACTATGTTTAGGATGTCCACTTTCTGGAAAATCGGGGAAAGCCATGAAAAAGTCAGGAAAGTAAAATGTAGTCCGTGAAAGTCTGAAAAATTCAGGTCAACCCTAAAGTCAGGAAAGAGATAAAAGATCTTTATAAATTTTTGTTATTACAATGATTGTGTGTTTGTTGTATGTTGATGATGAAATATATTCAATTCAAATTGTGATTTAAGACCTGACTTTTTTAATTCGGAGTATTATTTGTTTTTATGCTCCGACCGATGACTGCACAATTCTCAAACCAGTGTGGTAATGCCCCACCCAACAACCCCAAAAGTTTCTGTTCGTCACGAGAACGAGATTTCTCGTCGAATCCAAAAAGGATGGAACGCGTTCGTGAAGCTACTAAACGTCTTTGCGTCCAAATTACCTCAGTGTCTCTCAAGTGTCTCAACAAAAATATTCATCCAGCGTGTGTTGCCAAGATGACTTACGCAAGCGAAACGTGGTCGTTCATTATGGGTATTATAATCAAGCAGATCACCCAGCGATAAATGTAGAGAGCAATGCATAGTGTTTCTTCACCAACATTGCTGATATTGCACTAAGAATTGCTCAGCTGAAGTGGCAGTGAGCGGGACATACCGATGACCGATGGAAAGGTTTTAGAATGTCGACATACCAGACGATACTCAGTGCGTAGTCCCCTCCGCCAGTCGTACGGTTGTTGATGACGATGATACTTCTCGAACTCTTCTTTTTCTTCTCGTATACTTCTGGCGGGGTGGTCGTGGTCATGGATCGTCCGGTTAGTTTGTTGACGCTTTTGCGAGATGTCTCTATCTCTATTGCAGCACTACGTTTACAGTCAAAAAGAGAACAATTCATTGATGTTTTGAAGAACACTGGCCCTCCACACTTTTCCTCGTATATCAAACGTTCCAATTAGCTCTCATTACGAGTATTATATCCAAACATTTTAAGAATAGGTACACATTTGTGCAATCGACGGAAGTCTTTATTTGATATGTAGGTAATTCTTGTAGGATGGTGAGGTCAGTGTGATCAGTGTGTTTTCTAAATAAATAACATCATTTTTAATGAAAAATGCTTAAAAATCCACTTTGTCCCTGGCACTCTAATATTGGGACTCGAACCCTTTGACCTTTCGCAATCCGGACGACTACTGTAACCACTGAGCTGGACTGACGAATTTTTCAAGCACTTGTAACTTGTTCGCTACTACAGAGCGTATTTTCAACAATGTTCAGGCAATCCACCCAAACAGCCAAAATCAATATTTTTACAAATATTTAGCGAAACATTTAACTCATGACGAGTTCGAGTCCTATTTCAGATTGCATAAGGTGGGTTTTGAAGCATTTTTCATTAAGTTTTGTTTTTCTGTATAGCATTGTAAATGCAAAATTGATTAAATATAATAATTGAAGCATATTATTTAATTCAGTCTACTTTCATTAGCTCTCACTAGTAGTTATCATCAATGTTTCAGCTCCATACAATAGGATAGGAAACACTAGCCATCTCATTAAGCGAACCTTTGTGTTTTTAGTTATGCGGCAATGTTTCCAAATCTTCGTGAAAAGATTTCCTAAAATCCACAAAGCGAATAAACAGCGGTTTATTGAATTCACATGATTTCTCTATGACGTCTTTTAGGTTAAGAATCTGCTCGCGTGTACGCTTTCTCTTGACAAGACCAGCGCCTGTGCTTGAACAATCTCACGGTCCTGTAAGCTCACATTCAGAATTCGAAGAAGCACCTTGCTAGCGTGGGATGTCAACGATATTAGACGGAAATTATTACAATTTTAACTGTGCTCATTTTGTGAAGTGGGATGAATAAGGAATGACCACTCGTTTGCACATTCTCCCGTATTCAATATTTGTAAACAGATGCGAGTGTAATATATCGACATTAACATCTACTATTAAATTAAATCTACTTCTGACTTCAATAAGGAAGGCGCCTTTTCTGTTAGTGTTGAATTATCAAATTAAAAAGCCAATGATCTTTGTTTATTCCGAAACAAGGACCTACAGGACTTCTTACAAGCCTTAACAATCCAATGATTAATTTCTGTGATAGTATTAGCAGCAGAGTTCTCTATCGCCCATATCTTTGGCTGAAATTGGTTCTTAAGAGTTCTTATTTTCATACAGAAGTTCCTAGTCTCAAATTTCTGAGAGTGCTTTTTCATTTCTGTGTGTCAAGTTACATGAGCTTCCTACAAGCGGTTTGAATTTCAGAACCGAGCAGATTTAGTGGCTCCACTCGATTTTTCTTTGCAACACTTTTCTAAGAGAAGCCAAATTTCATCAGATATCCAGTGCCTTGTATTCTTCAGTTTAAACTGGGTGAGTTCGTCTGATTTAATAGTTCTTTTGGTTAATTGCCAAAGTAACTCCAGTTTACCTTCGCAGGCGGCAGATTCGTTTATGCAAGTATGCTTTACATTCTGCAGGGTCCTGCAGAAAGCCTCTCCGTCCGTAAACTCAATATGTCTTGGTATTTTTATAGAAATGCAGTTGCGCAATTCAAGTTTCAGGTCGCAGATTAACAGCTGATGATCGAACAAACAATCTGCTCCCGGCAAGGTGTGGGCATTGAATACTGAGCTTCTTCATCTAGGTCTGATCATATTGTAATCGATTTGATTACGATGTTTGCCGTCAGGGCCTTGGGTGGTGGTCCTTTTCATTTAAAATCTGGTAAAAAGTAGTGTTCATAAAATAAACATGCCATGAAACGGCAGCTTCAGACTTCAAAAAAAGAGAATATAATTTTTGGAATTCTTAAAAAAATTCTTTTTTTTTTAAATGTTCACATTGTCTTTGAAGCGAAACTACTCCTAAAAGAAGCAAAGTGTACTGAAAAACAAAACTTGATATCTAAATCGGGACTAAGAGATATCTAAATTGGTAGTTAGCTGTTAGGAAATTAAGAATGAGGGAGATATATGAAAGAATGTATGTGTGTGTGCGAATGTTTTGTTGGTAGTAGACAAGTAGTAGCTGATTTTACTTTAAAGTTTTTAATTTCAAAAGACACTATTGGTCAGGTAAATTTTGATGAATGGTCAGGGAAAAGTCAGGGATTTTTTTTTGACATTTAGAGTGGACACCCTGTTAGTTCTAGAAGCTCATTCTTTGAACATACCAAATTTATTTTAGTATAGTTCATAAAACACTGACGCTGCAAGTATACATAATGTAGTGGAATGAAATACGCAAATAATCTCGACAATCGCAAAGTATTTTACCGCTCTAATTATGAATCTCAACATATACCATAAACCTAGAATCGGAATAATAGTGGACCAAAGTACGCGCCCTCTTAAAACTATCAATTAGTAAAACTATTACATCGTAACAGAAGACTGTAATACAGATTTATTCGTAAGAAAAGTATAATTTAATCGGTTAATAATTTATAATCTCATTGGCGAGGTTCTGAAAATTAGTTCTTAAGCAACTAGCTGAAGAAGTCCGTTGTCAGTAGAAGTTAAGAAGGTTGTTTCTCTTGAGTGTACACGTTGCCTAAACCTTTCTTTGTAGTTGCTGGACCTGTAATCAAGGATAAAAAAATAATTAATGTATTTCAAAGTTATCTTGCCACCTGAAAATGTGTATTAAATGCTTTAGCGACTATGACAAATTATACTTGATACGTAGTATCTCCTAATTTTCGTCTGTGTTTGATTTGATGGAATTGATATTATGTGTGACATATAGTAAAAAAAATGATTACTATTTATAAAGTATCATCTTCGCGCCGGATTGCGGGGTCGGCAGGGTAGGTTTTTGCACAACCGTGTAATAAACACAGACGGCCTTATTACTAAGGTATCAATATTTCTACGCTAGTTTGGTAAATAAAGAAAATTCTATGAACTACACCAACTATCTACTGTTAGAAAACAAGATTTATTTTAATAGCTAGTCTTTGACCTTCAAACTCGCGCCAAATTCTCTAACAATCTGGTACGGCATATCGCCAGCCAGAAACGATTCCATGAGTTGTTTATGTATACAAATAGGGAACGTTTTGGTGGTTTTGGAGCAATGACATTAAACTCGTTGTTTTGGAGCGAGATGCACGTACTAAATCATCTGTCTGTCCGCTTGTCTTTTCTTTTGTTGCCCTTGATTACTCTTTTACGTTAAAGAGGATTTAATTCCCTTAACAAGCGCTAAGACGCTAGATTACTTTATAATATAATTATCTATACTAATATCATAAAAAGGAAAACTTTGTATGTTTGTTTAATTGTAATGAATAGGCTCAAAAAATACTGGACCGATTTTAAAAATTCTTTCACCATTCGAAAGCTACATTATCCACGAGTAACATAGGCTATATTTTATTTTGGAAAAAAAATAGGGTTCCGAAAGATATTTGGGTTTTTCGGACACAAGGTGTAAAAAAATAACCAGAAAAGTTACTTATTTTGCGTACGCTGTCTAAACTATAAAATATAGTAACATAAAATGTTCTAATTAATTGTAGATCTTATAAATATCTACAAAAAAGTCTGCAACACACTATACCTATCTATGGTGAGTGAGGCATAACAACCATTTTTTTATTTTAAAATCTTGTTTTTTTTGGACTATATTTAAACGCGTTTATTTTACTCTTGCTATTAATCTTTATCAAAATAAATCACTAAGAACAGTTTATGTAGATAATATTTGGTCTTTGAATGATTCAAATTGGACGTTTGGTTTTGAAGTTATGGCGAAATTAAAATATTACGATTTCTACTGTACGGCACGTTTTATAAAACAAAGTCGATTTCTCTGTCCCTATATCCTTATGTATGCTTAAATCTTTAAAACTACGCAACGAATTTTGGTGCGGTTTTAATTCTTAGATGGGGTAATTCAAAAGGAAGGTTTTTATATAGGTATAATACAAGACTACGCGGCCGAAGCTGCTGCAAAGCTAGTTAAAAATAAATTTGTTATACGAGTAAAAGTACGATATCTCAAAGAACTTATAACGTAGTAGTACTCGATACTGTAACGAAGTATTTGACAGGTTTTAAATTCTTTTTGATACTCATTATATACCTAATAATATTATTAATTCTGTGTTTGAATTGATTATTAACGTATACCGTGGTAAAAAATATTATTGATAGATTTATTGATGTTATTGACATTTGTAATAGCCATGCTGAATACTAAATAAAAACGCCACCATAAACTTACGAGGGTACTTCCGGAGACCCGAAAGGAAAGGAAATATACACTTGCGAAATTATCATTCCGCACACGCCTGTAATATTATATTATATTGCCTAGCTCTCTGGATCTCGTGTGCGTTTGTTATCAAATGCAAATTAGAAAGGTCACCTGTGGTCATCATGGCCAGTCATGGCTGTTCTGCGTAGGTGCATTATGCTTATTAAGAATATATAAGTTTTGGTTATATTATATTCAATACAAACTTTCTGCCATGGGCTTCAACAGCGGGAAGCGACTTTGTTGTATGCTAGGTATAGATAGGTATCGCTTGTGATTCCCCTCGCGTTTACGCCAATTGTTGGTTGATTTTTCAAAATTTTTATTCGACAGCTTAATGGACTGAGGTGGTTCCATTTCAATTTTATCGAAATTGTAATCAGTAGTTTTCCTTTTATAACAAAATAAGATACGCTTTGCATCATATATCACCCAATATTAAGATGATATACCTATATTATATTGTATCTCGGCTAAAAAACAAAAGATTGCGTATTTTGAATTCATTCAAAATCCGAAAGGAGGATTTTCTTTGTTCAAAGAGTACCTAACTATGTATATATTTTTATGAAAATTGGTATGTCAATCGTTTTCTCCTTGAATTGTGAACCAATTTCTATCAAAGTAGTTGTTTCCCCACGACTTGGCCTGCGTAAATTATAGCCTATGTCCAACGCGTATTATGTAGCTTCCCGTAGATGAAAGACTTATAAAACGGTCCAATAATTTCGGAGCCTATCCAATGCAAATAAACAAAATATTCTTTACTGAGAGTTTCACTACGTTGCATATTTTTATTTAAATATATCTATATCTATACTTAATTTTAGAAATAAAATATTGATTGTTTGCACCGAATAGGCTCTGAAACTTCTGAACCGATTTAAAAAATTCTTTCATCTACGGAAAGCTCGGGTAAAATATCCGGTAGTCGGCCGTTTAATGAGAATCTTAATTTGATTCCACTATATTGAAAAAAATAAGGGCTTTATATAAAAAGAGCTATGGTCATCAGAAAGGTTGTTTATTATATTTTCTAAAGATAACAAAATGTTATCATTAGATTGGAATCATATAAATAATCAATACAAAACGAAATATGACACTTTTATTTGTACATACTCGGCCTCATGTGCACCATAAGTGGACCGCCTCTTAACCTGTAATCGGCCTCTTACCCTCTTAGGTACTCTTGCATGTTGGACGTATAAATTTTTAATACATTTTCATAGACATCAAATAACCAACTAAGTCGGTACATTTCAAATAACCGCAACTAGTATTCTTTAAATTCTCTTACAACTATTTTTAGACTTAAATAGCTTTTATTTTTTGTAATTCTGATTAATCCTTTTCTCTTTTTCTGTTTCGCAAAGAAACAGAAAAAGCTTTCTGCTTTTCAAACTTCTTCTCAACATGATGAGATTCTATAATTAAAGATTATTTATTCTAAAATAAACGTGCTAGATGTAATTCCAATTTAAAAACAAAAATTATTATTCACTGTATGAATTTTAACGAAATCAAAGAAAATCCTAATAAAACCAGTAGCCGTCTACTTCCGAGCACTGAATTAACCCTAAAAAATCGAAAACTACTTAGTAGTCGTAAGTTATAAATGTACGCACGACATGGCGAAAAATCGCAACAGTTCGCGAGTAATGTAAAAACAATTCTGAGGTTTTATTTCGCGTATCTCTTTAAGTCTTATTATAGTGTTATAAATATCTATTCAAACATGCTCCAAAATTGTTCATGCCTTGCATTTTGGGTTTGATCGCTCCTGCTAGCTAAACGCGTCATCGATCGCCTTTCATTTATGTTACGATGATATAGAGAACGAATACCAGAGATTGGATGGATTCTATTATTGACTGCGCAAACATCGTGTGAAAGGAAGCTTTTGGGCCATTTCCTGGAGGTGAGAAATGGGGCCGGTTGTGACGCACGTTTTTACCTCTGCATCCGTTCATAAGACGAATTACGATTTATCAAAAACATATTCCGTAATGAGAACAGAAGTGTATATGATTTACTAACATGTTAGTGGAGTAAGAATCGCCAAAATAGATTATTTTACTAAAGTTGTTACGTCCTATTTAACTCGTTTCACAAGTAAACAGATTGTAAAAATAATATTAGCTTAAATATTTTATTTTCTAAACCTCTTTACTATACAACCAATGTCTTCTTTCCCACGCATTATTCGCATAAATTGTAACAAAAACCGGTTCAAATACTCAGAATAGTAGTGGATTTATTATTCCCCAGAAGTGTTACTCCCTGGGATGAGGTGTTATCAGAGTGGTATAGTCTGCATCAGTATTTGACTTGGGAGTATCGACAAGATTGGTTTCCATTTTACATTATACGTACCCCTATTTTATTTCTTTAAACTACACATTATATACAAATCTTACTTTGTATCAATCTATCTTATTATAATGGCCTGTCCGCCAGTAACTGCAGTGCTATTCTGAAAAACGGTTTTGAACTAGACGTCAAGCGCTGCCAGCGCTATCACAACATAGAGATTCAATCAAATAAACCTACTTCAAAAGATAAGGTTGATTTCAACTTCTACGCTGTCACAGCATTGTACTTGACGTTGTGGTTGAAGTTGTTTTTTTAACAAAATAGCATAGTAGAAGAACTTGTGACAAAGATGTGCAAATTTTATTACTTCCGGGTCTTTAGTGGTGTTATCTTTCGCTTACTTACTTTAACACAATTATTTAATTGAATAATGGTCTGTGGTTAGACTCAAAATGATTATGATTAAGTGATTATTTATATAAAATTATTCCTTTATTGCCGTATTAAAATCGTTTAACGGTGTTATTTTTGGTAAATCCACGTGGAAAGATAGAATTGGTAATTCAAAATTGTTTGATTGAATTAATGTATTTAAATCGTTTAATGGCCTCCTACGTGAAGTTGGCAGTGTTGTGGTGACGCAAAGTGCCATTAAAGTTAAGAAGAAGAAGAGATACCAATACTTTGAAATCGTGTGAACTATTTAGTTATCAACAAATTTAATTAATTGGATAATAAATATTTCCGTTCGCATGAGATGATTAGTAAATATAAGAAAAGTACAGTGGAGACAGTCACAGACAGATCTCTAGTCCGGTCACGTTGGACGTGATCACGAAACACTCGTTAGTTTTACTACAATAGTATGTCTTTACTATTTCTTGTCTATATTATATGTTAAGAAAACAGCCATTTTTTCAAATATATGTAAAAAAATTATATCTGCATATCAAAATTTTTACAAAACTAGCAAGTTAATAATATTGTAGAACGCTATTGCA